GTCCTGACCGCGTAGCTCAGTTGGAAGAGCATTGGGCTAGTATTCCAAAGGTCGTAGGTTCGAATCCCACCGTGGCCGGGCATATTTTTCAAGCTCGCCCGGTGTGGATATGCACTCAGAGTAACATCACAAACATGTTTGCATATAGTTTTAATACGCCGCCGAAGTGGGTATGGTATATATGTACACAATACCCAAATGTAATCTGCTGTTTTACAGACATTGTTTACGTAGTTTACTAATTTTGTCACTATTCCAGGTCTTACAGTCACGGGAGAATATTAAGGCCGGTCTCCATTACGTCCGCTTTGCCCACGCTAAAAAATCTGCAATTTTGGGTGACAAAAGTAATGGTGGGCACTATGGATAGCAGAGGAAGCGACTGTCTGGATTCGCCAGAAAATAGCCTTTCCGAAATTGTATTAAACGAGTTAGATGAACGCGATCGTTCATTGATTGAAACAAAGTTGGGAAAATTTGTAGCTAGTTTGCTTAGCTTTAGACATTTGCCACCCAAAATGGTAAAAGTCGAACATGATGTGTTACATTGTTACATTGCATGTATCACATATTACATTGCATGTATCACATAGATAGCATTGATGCTTATATTTTCCCTCTTTGTCTATTTCAAGCTAAAGGCGGCCGTCCCTTTAAAGTTGGAGATCGTGTAAGGGTCAAAGCATCTGTGACTACACCAAAGTATAAGTGGGGAACAGTGAATCATGCGAGTGTTGGTACTGTCGTATCAGTAAGTAGTAATGGCAAAGATGTTAAGGTGGATTTTGAACAACAAGCCAATTGGACTGGACTTGAAAGTGAGATGGAACTTGTACCTGTCAGACATAATGGCGCAACGTAAGTCAATCTACAACATTTCCGTCAGAAACGGAAGTAAGAATTAACCCAATAAAAAACCCCAATTTATTGAACAAATACTTCAAAGTACTGTATTCCACAGTCTACTTATTGTTTGGACCTTTTCACGTTATTTCCTCTTTTCTGGATTCTTCTCCCAACCGATTTTACGTCTTCTTACATAGCGTCCTAAACCGAATATTAGTTGAAATACATTTATTGCAACGTAAAACGTTACTTATAAATCCTGTTTCTTTTTAAATGAACATTTTACGTTTATCATAACCATTTCGAGTGTGATAAGGTATTTCTTTTAACCATGTCAATTACAGTAGTCTAATTTCTTGAACCATACCCATTAGGGACGTTTCACTAACATTTAGGTTGCCCCTCTTATTGCTGAAAATCTTAATACTAATCTATTTAAGGCTTTCGTGGTTTGCATTGTTATACAGCTGTATTTCACCGTTCAATCGTTCATCAACTGTCTTTCAGAAATTACCGGGGACTGTTGGCCCTTTTCCCGTAGTGTCCGCCATGCACTGACTATATCGAGGGAAACCGTAATGTATTTCTTTGTTTCCTGAGCATAGAAGTCTAGAACTATAATGACTTTCACAGAAAAAAAAAACATTTGGAATATAATTTTTTTGTTTTTATCAAGTAAACCAGTGATGACCATCATAGTAAAAGAGATATCCCTGGCGAATCGGCCTTTCCATCGTTATTCCATTCTTACCAACTGTAACAATTCACCAGATATCATATCCGGTCGGATACTAGATATTGTTTATTTAAGATTCAGGTCTTCTGATGATGTAATATGGTGCAAAAAATACGAGTCATGTTTTTGCTTAAAATTACCGTAGAGAACTTTTCATTATTTTTCGTGCTCGCTTGCAAGTGCGAACATTTATCGACGTTAGACTGTGTTCTTTCATACCATTCCAGGTCAATATATTATAAACATGATCACTTTATAACCAATGATTGTTTAACCTTGAATATAATTGGACCTGAACCTTATATAACCACTATCCGGTTTCCGGCCGGATATTTTATTCTGGCCGGTGCACCCCTAACCATTTGTTATTTGTCTTTTATTTACCAGTTGTTATTCATGTCATATGCATCCAGTGGAAGGACCACGTTATAAATGTAAAGTTTGTTCTGACTACGATCTATGTCAGAACTGCTTTGAAACTCGTTCACACAAACACTCTTTCCTTTGTTTACCTGAGGAAGACAGCACTCCAGTATTAGTTGGCAAGGCGGGCAAGGCAAGAAAGAGAGAAAAACGGGTGCAACGTGCAGAAATGATCAAGGAGTGGACACGTTGTATAAAACAGATCACAGTGTCGTCTCGTGAAGGTCTTAAGTTACGATTATTTGATGGAACTGATTCTTATTGGCAAAGTTCTGGACCCCAGGGAAAGGTGATTTTGTGCAAACATACATGCTGGAACTAACTGCAAAGAATGCTCTGTGCTTAAATATCTATGAAGGTTTTCAAATTTAATGTTCGTTCTATATGGAAATAACAGTCACTTGTTTGTATTGTCTATTTATGTAGCATTGGATAAATCTTGAGCTGTACCCTGACATTCTGATTCATAAATTAATGATGACAGTTGATCCATCAGACAGCAGTTATACACCATCTGTAGTTGTCACATCAGTGGGAGAGTCACTACAGTCTTTGGTGGAAGTAAAGACGACACATGTCAAAGAGACCGAACACTCAGTCAAGTTGCTGGAAAATGTGCAAGAGGTAGGTTGAAATTGATAACATTTTGATGTTCATTGTACATTATGGGCATAGCCGTCCTTTGCTGTGGGTTTTAGGTATGTATACTAAAATATTTTGTTGCATTCCAATAGGAATGTCGTTTTGTGCAGATATCAATAAAACAATGTCGGAGCAGTGGAATTGACACGAAAGTTCATGGCTTGACCATAACTGGAAAACGTAAATCGGACGAAGATCAAATCGCGTGCGGCTTCTCCTTCCTGGCTTTAGATGATCAACCAGAACAGTCGACCTGCGCAGTATCAACAAGGAAAACCCAACATTCTTGCAAGGAATCGAAAGATGGGAAAGTACAAGTTTATGTTTGGGGACTAAATGATAAAGATCAACTTGGTGGTCAGAAAGGCTCGAAAGTAAGTTTTAACGTTGGCCACATGGGGTTATGGGGGCTGTTTTAACATATAGGCTGGGTTCCCCCACTCCCACTCCTGCCCTCTTTTCAGGGCTGCAAATTACTGTCGGACATCGGACAATGTCCGACTAAATTTGGCAAATGTCCGAGCAAAAGTAATTTTGATGGGACATTGGTCAGATCACAAAAAAATGTCACATTATACATTTTTCTGCTGTGACAAAATCCGATTGCAAATTTGCATTTTGCAATAAAATTTACGAGGCATTCTAGCATTTTACTTAACTTTGCGCTGGAATGGCTATACATACTTGTCTCCAGTGACTTATATATATCTTGTGGCGTATATATTTCCAACCAAATTTAGTGGTGTTGGTTTTTGTCCGACCAAATTCAAGTTATGTCCGACCAAAATTAAAAGTGATCGGACAAATGTCCTGTCAAGTCAAATATTTATTTGCAGCCCTGTCTTTTGGTATTCTGGCCCCCAGTGCAAGAATCGTCTCTATATATTTGAATATAAAATGTCGAATATTTTAATATCTGAAAAAAGACCGATATACCAGATTTCTTTTTTTCCCCTTATGGAAGATGTTATCCCTCCCCCACTTACCACATGGTATACAGTGGCTGCGCGCACCGGTCAGCCAATATAGGGATGGAGAGGATGGCAACGTAGTAACGAGGCAAAAAAGAACTCAAGATGATACAATTCATTGTGTTAAGCCCGTTCTCCACTAGGCGAATTTATTCGCGCGAACAGATAAAAAGTAGGAAGCGATCCTACTTTTTCGCCGCGAATTTTTTCGCAGACCAATCACGTTGCCGGATTTCGGTTTTCGCTTCGCGTCGCGCGAACAAATTCGCGTAGTGGAGAACGGGCTTTAATGGCCGTTGTTTCTACGTTTCGCCGTTGTTTCTATGTCGAGATCCTTAATGCTTAAATCTCTCTTAAATCTTTGAATGTCTTACTCTCTAGGATCTGACTTACGTTATTTTTGTCCTTGCCACCATTTAAACGTTTAGAATTTCTGCCTCAATACATGGTAAAACTGACGTCAGCGTCTGTCGAGTGAATAAGATAAACTATCTTGATTTCTTACCCATGTGTAGTCACTTGTTCTTTTTTCAAATAAAATTATTACTCCTGTATGTTCGTTTGAAATCGGCTAAAGCTTCCAAAAATAGGCAAAGTAAAACAATTGTAAAGTACAACCTCCGTATCTCAATGTGTTATGGTGTTTATGTTTTTAGATACGAAGTTACACTCGAGAACATTTTATGTGATTCGTTGCATTTTATAAATATTAGAACAATCATATAAAGCCTGGTTTCCATATGGTCGTAAAGATCGAATCTTTCTCGACAGCCGAAATACAACAGTCTAGAACTGAAAAATTAGGCAGAGTGATTATTTATAGAGAATATGTGGTTTACAGGTAAAAAAAACCTATTAAAATCTGGCCATTGAGAAAGATCGTCACTCTATCTTTATGACCGTCACGACCATATGGAATCATGACTTAAATGCGAGCAATGCCTTTGCATGTGAGCGATTGAAACTAACGAATCTTAATATTCTCTTTAGATTAAAACCCCAGTATTGTCGGAAACGTTGACTGACTTAAACGTGATTCAACTGAGCGGTGGTTCCAAAAGTTTGTTTGCAGTCACACGATCAGGAGAGATTCATGCCTGTGGTGAATCAACGAATGGTCGTCTAGGTCTTGGTACTGTGACTGGTAATGTTCCTACACTGCGACTGATAGACAGTCTGTCTGGTATCCACGTGAAGAAACTAACTGTACATTCAGGTGGTCGCCACTGTTTGGCTGTGACTGTCTTAGGAAAACTGTATTCCTGGGGCGAAGGTGAAGATGGTAAACTTGGTCATGGAAATAGACAGTAAGTCATTCATTTTTCACTGCCAAAGGGGACACATGTAAATATCTTCATAATAACATGTTATATTTGTCTTCTGAAACCTTCTGATTTCATGAGGAAATTTGGAACGTGACTTGGAAACGTGACGAAATTTGGACAAGTCTAACTAAGCAATACTCCCGCATTTCTTCTGAATGAGTAAATTTAATTGTCACTGTATAAACTTAATGGTCACACTAAATATTTGATCTTATACAGTACCTATAGCTCCTCACTTCAGGCTGGAAAAATTTAGTTTAGTTCGGCCACTGTATCAGCTATCTCAGCTTGGAACAGCAATCCCCAGAGATAATTATAGAGCTTATCAGATTCTCATGCAGCTTTGCACGAACATTGGAATTCAACCTCGTACCCAGGCTCTTCTACGCTCCCCGCTTGAGGAAAGATCCTGGTCCAGGCTGGTCACGTGTCACCCATATTTTTGGAGATAACAAAAAATTTACGCAAGGGTGGGGGGCTAAGTTTGTTTTGCCGGTCTAAGACCATGTCAAAATAGTTTCACAAGCTAGGATAAGCCAGAAAAATTGGAAAATCGACCACACAGTTCTTTACGCGAACAAGGGTTTATATTTAATCGCTAGCTCACAAATATAAAGTAAAATTTAATCATGACTCTGGTTAACTAAATGTTCTGCCAAATACAACACTCTACAGCAATTTTCTGCAAGATTCTGCCTTTTCTTGTTGATATACAACTGACCCCGAGGTTGTGTCGTTGAGTGAGGCATGTGAGCTTCAAGAACAACATCTATTGACAATACTAACGTTTAAGAGTTTAATTTCAAACGTCCAGCCAGGCCTCTTCAACAACTTCGTCCCTTACAATAACCGTTATGTGCTAATAAAAACTTCGTTTCATGATAGCCCTTTGTATTGCTTTATTTACACTACTTGTACTGTTTAGAACTCGAATGTCACATTTGCCTTATCCACCCCTATAAGTCCCAATTGTTATCTCAAATAATATGGGTGACACGTGACCAGCCTGGACCAAGGTCTTCCTCAAGCGAGGAGCGTAGAAGAAAGAGCCTGGCAAGAGGTTGTAGAGAATTAACACTTATTGACTGGGACCGAGGGAAACAGTATGTCTTGTGAACCCGAGACTGAAAATGTTTCTCGAGGCGAAGCCGAGGCCCAGTCAATAAGTATTTTATTATATAACAAGTATCAAGGAAAAAAACGAAAAAGAAACGAGAAAACGCCATAATTTTTGTCCATAACTGAACGATTTTATTATTTATTCCTGAGCTGTTGCCAGAAAACAATCGAATTTCCTGACTTTCATATGATATGAACTTTGTCACTTTGTATGTAATGTTTTTAACCTAGATTTTCACGGGTAGATGCAGGCTAGGAGATATATCACTTTGCTTGACTTTATAGAAATTATGATACGCCCAAGCTCGTTGAAGCCTTCAATGCAGTATTTATCCGTGATGTATCAGCTGGTAGTTCACATAGTGCGGCAATTACTAGCGATGGTGAATTATACACGTGGGGTTTGGGAGAGTATGGTCGGTTAGGTCATGGTGATGCTAATACTGTGAACAATCCAAAGCTGGTAAGAACATTACTATGCTACTTACTATTGACTTTAGCATTGGAATATCCTGCCGACATTTACAGTTTAATAGACTGTACTGTTTATTGCATTCTTGCCCCAAGGTTCTTACTTCCTGTTTTGTGCAGAATAGGGTTAAGGATAGGTTTCTGATTAGACTCAAGATCAAAGAGAAGCATATTTGTGCACGAAACATGGCGCCTTCATTGTGGCAAAAGTGCAATAAATAGTAAAATCTATTATGTTGATTTATGGTTGGACACGGGGAACTATAGACGCAGAATGACTTTGGAAAATGGATCATTCACAATTTTATGGAACGAATGTTAAATAAGTAATGTTAGTTTTGAATGAAATGAGGTATGTATGAGCACGATGCTGCCACAAGCACCAAAAGGATGTCTGCGAAGAAACTTTGCAATAGATTACATTTACAACCTCCGTTTTAAGGATAGCCACGTACCCAGATCGTATCGTGCCTTAGCTTACCCCATCTTAAGGCGGATTTCCAGTCCTCGCACGAAACTCCTCGCAGCTCGCTGCGAGTGATGCATGAGCACTTTCATCCAATCACAATGCTAAACCGTTCATTTTAATTAGATGCAAGCACTCGCAGCGAGCTGCGAGGAGCTTCGTGCGAGGACTGGAAATCCGCCTTAAGTCTACGTATATACATACACTTATGTAAATTATGTAAATTGTAGGTTCGAGCATTTCAAGGTCATCATGTGGTGAGTGTTGCATGTGGCAGTCGTGATGCGCAGACCCTGGCATTAACAGATGATGGTAATGTTTGGTCCTGGGGAGATGGTGACTTTGGTAAACTAGGACGTGGTGGGAGTGAAGGATGCCAAGTTCCTCAACCTGTCGAAAGATTGAAAGGTGAAGGAGTGATCAAAGTCGAATGTGGTGCTCAGTTTTCACTCGCTTTGACCAGATCTGGTTTAGTTTACACCTGGTAAGTATTGTGTGTATTAGTTGGGTCCATTGATGTTGCATGAGTTGTTCATGTTCTTTCCGATAAATTTAGCATAATTGAAATACTGCAGACTTTAGGATTTAACATTTGAAATAAACTGTTGAATATATAAACGAATCTTTATTTTGATATGCCATAATTTCTGAATTGGGAAAACAACATGGATTTTATAGTAATTAGTATAATAATCATAAGTTTGAAACAGATCAATCGTAAATTACAATTAATTTTGGCTATGATAATTGTTACTTTCCAATGGCGTCGTCGTATGTACATAATATCAAACAAATTTAAAGTCTCCAGAACAGATACATTGTACAATATTGTACATTGTAGTTCTAATTAAGAGATCTTTCCAACTGGATAACGTTTGTTGTCAATATCCATTAAAACAGCATTAAGAATAGCTTTGATTTACGTTTCAGGGGTAAAGGTGATTACTACAGACTTGGTCATGGTAATGATTCTCATGTTCGCCGTCCACAAGTTGTAGAGGTTTTCAGAGGCAAGAAGATTGTTGATGTTGCTGTTGGTGCTTTACATTGTCTCGCAGTCACTGAGCAAGGACAGGTACGAGCACGTTTTCAGAATCACACACTATAGAGTCACTCACAAATGTATGAAGGAATAATTTATGCATTAATGTGACTTGGTTGTCTGGTAATAATAATTTCTCTATTTGTTTATTACCAATATTCGCTACGGTGCTTTGACGAACTTAATTTATGCTCCAACCCAAGAGATTAATTTAAAGATATTAAGCAAAATATCTTTTATCACACGAGACCATAAAGTTGTTTCTCAAATACACTTAAGCGATCACTCTTAATCACTCATTCAAAGAATGCGTTTTGGACGCACGATTTCAAAAAAACGTTCGGCGACTCCTCACAATGTAGTTAGTTCCAGATAAATTAAAAAGGACAATAAATATCTAATCTCTTAATACAACCTTTGTTTATTGCACACGTAGTTTCACAAATAGTGCAACAGTAACATTGTTTTGTTTTTTTATCGTCGTAGGTTTATGCATGGGGTGATAACGACCACGGCCAACAAGGAAATGGATCAACTTCTGTTAACCGTAGACCTCATATTGTCATAGGTTTAGAAGAAGTAAAGATTACTAAAGTTGCTTGTGGTTCATCACACAGTATTGCATGGTCTGACATCAACACCCATACTCCTGTAAACCATGAACCTGTTCCTTACCCTGTCAACGAAGATCGACTGGGTTCACATTTTGTCGCCAAAAGAAGTTCTAGTGAACCTAAAATAACAAGTGGGAAATCTCGCAAACAACGACCATCACTCACTAAAATTGTGCTAGCGTTGAGAAAGAAGCGCGAGAGACAACATGCATTTGGACACATTTTATCTGCTCTTCAAATTCATTTCGCACGCGAAGCAGTTGTGAGTTCATTATCACGCAAGATTTTAACTCCTCCTTCAGATGTGAATACTGACAGTCCTGACTCTCAGAATTCTGATACTCGGCTCAGTCCTTCGACTAAATCCATTGATTTATCTGTGATACCACAGGCTACGTTAAGTGAGGTTGTTCTCAGTAATGTTACATCTGATGTTAGTTTAGATGAACTGTCCAAGCAGTTAGGAACAAAAGATGCTGAGTTATTGGTTGATGTTCTTAAACTGGCGGTTGCACATAGAACGAGTGAAGAGGGAAAACAGTCGGTTTCAACTGTATTGAAAGAACTCGCTGAAGAAATTCCTGAAGTAAGTGGTGTTTGGAATTTTATTCGCTATTCTTTAACATAGTATTATAGTTACATTAAAATCAAGTAATTCCACAATCACATAAAGTATAACCACAATGACCGTATATTTTCTAATTTATACAATACATGTTTAGTGTGACAAATGGATTTTACTTTTTCATTAAACAAGTGAAAAGTGACATGCTTCCCCTCTTCATTGTTGTTAATTTTCAGCATACATAACGACTTCGAATACAACATCCAGGTTGTGATGGGGCGGGCGGGGGTGTAATTATGTTGTTAGACACGAAATCCTGCGACATCTTTAGTTTAAATCTGTCGATTCACGCATGTAGCCATTAACATATTATAAAACATTATTTCATCAGTTCATTCTTTCTTGGGTGAGTCAAACACAAATGCAACAAGATGGTTTATGTACGTTTAAAACTGCTAGTTAGGATACAACAACAACGTCCGATATTTTGAGTCCTTCGCCAAGAATTAAAAGCTACACGCGTTACCCCGTCTTTAGGTTGTGTTGTTGTGTTGTTTATGTGTTACATGTTCACGTTTGCTTGACATGTAGGTTGCTGAAATGTTAGTGAACCTGTGTAAGACTGAGCTGGAAAATGTCGTATCAAGTCAAGAAGATGTTCCTTTATCTCAACTGCCTGCAATCATTGAGAGCTCTCATCCGTACACTCATGAAGACAGCAGAATAAGCGATTACGTTAAAGTGCCTGGTGCCTCGTGTCTTAGAGTTGAGTTTGATAGACAGTGCTCTACAGAACGTGGGAAAGATGTTTTAACTTTACACGATTGTAATGGCAGAGAGATCGCAAATCTTAGTGGGCGGGAGAAAAGTGATTGGTCCAATGAAATTCAAATCAATGGTAACGAGATGCGGTATAAATTTACTATTGCAAGTACAGGACCAATGAAAGGATGGGGTTGGAAAATGACTGTCTATCCAATTGCATCGTCGGTCATTCCATATGATGTTCTTTCTGATAGCACGGTTTTGTCCCGTCCTTCAATTGATCTCGCTGTCTGTCTGTTAGGTAAGTCATATTTGGGTTTTGAAAAGTCCAAAACGTCGGTTTTTGAGAACAAACAAACAAACAAACAAACAAACAAACAAACAAACAAACAAACAAACAAACAAACAAACAAACAAACAAACAAACAAACAAACAAACAAACAAACAAACAAACAAACAAACAAACAAACAAACAAACAAACAAACAAACAAACAAACAAACAAACAAACAAACAAACAAACAAACAAACAAACAAACAAACAAACAAACAAACAAACAAGGCGAGGTGTTGCTTGGGTGAGATTGTCCAAATATCAGTAAAGATGTGTAGGCGACCGTAGCTGTTCACGACTGGAAAATTGTTTCACTCTCACATTATCTGATACTGTATGCATGTTGTGTTTGTTCGTCATTAAAATTTAATTGACATCATAATTATTGTGAAAAATAGCTAATTCAACCTCGTACCCAGGGCCTTTGCAAAGGCCCTGGGTACGAGGTTGTAGCTAATTTTGCTTTTTAAGCCCCGCTCAAACGAGATTTGGCAATCACGAATTTTTACAGGGGACATTTCAGCTCTAGACTAACAAAATAAAGGTTTGAAGAGTGTTCAAAATGAGTTTAATGATGAGTTAAAACTATGTTTTTAACCACTCGACTCCAAAAAGTGAAGACAGGATGGCGAAAATTGAAGAACAATTGGACGTCAGTTCCAGTCCCTTTTTATTGTTTTTGTCTTCGCGGGTAACACGAAGCTGCAAGGAGTTCACCGAAATTTCGTATTTTGACGTCGATTTAAAGAATAACACCATGGTTTTATGAACTGATAACTTGTTTAGCGATACGATCCGTTAGAAAAAAACTGGAATTAGCTGGAGAAAATGATATTAAAAACTATTTACGACCTTCGTAACTAATGGACGTCAATTTCTGCTATCTTGACTTGACTTTTCTCATAGGCCGAATTACTGGAATTCTTGCTCGAGATACATATAGAGCTCACTGGTTTTAACTTATTTTAAAATTAACTTCAGAATACATGATAGTGTTGGGAAAGCATTAAGAACAGATAACCAAGGTCATGTGACTGCCAACTCTCATGCACTCTCATGATCTCATCTTCGTTTGATCCGGGCTTTACGGTTACCGAAATAAAAAGAATGCGCTTCAAGAGAGTGCGGATTGCCTCAAGTATGTCATTGAATTGATTAAAATTCCATATTAATTTCCTTTTTTTTTATTTTCATAGATTTCGACTTGGAGGCACTTGTGAGTTGTGACCAGATAGTGAGTCTTGCATCATCCTTAGCTGCGTGTATACAACTCAATATTTTATCTGCTGAACATCGTACATGGGCATTGCTGCGTTTACGTCAGCTACTACTTTCTGCACATGGTCCATGTATTAACATCGCTGACCTGCTAGGATCGCGGTTGCAGCCATCAGATGAGTCATGTAAGGTGAAACCATGCACAGATCCTGTCATGGATGCCGTAAGTTTAATTTATTGATGACGAAATAATTTAGTATATTAAGTTGCTATGGTTTTTGTCGGAACCACCCGAAGAAGAGTAAGAACATTTCGAAATTTATAGCTAGAGCGAAGGCCCTTCATCTGGAGGTTGGTTGAGGTGCTTTATTCATCTTTTCAGGTAGTTCAGACACAAACAATTAAGTAAATCTTTGCTTGATGCGCTCTGGGTGACTGAAACATGCTCCCATCACGAGGCAGTAATACACGGTGCACCTGGGTGCAAGAATAATTTCCAGTCTAAAATGTTGGTCTTCTATTGTTCTGTAATGTTTTTCTTTCCATTCTTTCTTTAGATAATTTCACCCTCACCTCTTGGTATGTTAATAAAAGGACTTCCAAACATGTTACGCCGTCAGTATGAACATGATGAACCTTTGGTGCGCAGTGGCAAACATTTGTTCTTCAGTCCATTCTTTCAGGTAGCCAACACTAACTTGAACATCTAATTATCCAATTTTGTTGGTTAAGAAGTTTTGATTTGCCTTTGCGTTTTTAATGCAATACTACACCATATCGGCATCAAATTTTCAGATCCAATGAAATGTTGGGTCTTGAAGACCTTAATCGATTGTTCCGCATCATTCGTCACAAAATCACTAGAAACACTTCATAACCGAAATCATTTATATAATTAGGTTACCTGTAAAGAGTTGGTGATGTTTTTGTATAAGTTCCGAACTTATGGTAGAGTTTTGTTGTGATTTAGGAATTGAAGACCTAAAAACGTAAAATTGTATGCACTAAAGTTATTGTGATTTGAACTTTTTTATTAAAGTTGTCCGAATAACTGCTCGGTGTTGATGATTTTTGTTCTATTACAAAATGATATAATTAGACAAAGGGAAGTTGATTATCATCATTTAACATGTTTTATTTCTACGTTTAGGTTTTGGTGGCGTTTGCGTGCGATTTAGGTGTTGACAAATTGTCTCCACCAGTTGAGAGTCAACAAGACTGGACATGGTTTACACGCTACTGCACGACACGTAGGACAGCGGTTGCACTTGAAAATCGCTCGAAACTTCCTCAGGATATGCTGGATGAGTCTGTGGTGAAAATTCAAGAAATAAAAAGTATTGAGGAAATCAATCGTGACTATGAAGATCATGAGTTGTTCAAACAAGAACAAGATGAACAACTTATTAACTGGTTCAGTCGGTAAGAAATTCATCACTTACATTCATCATTAACAGCGATCAAAGTAGAAAACCTCTGCTTACCTTCTCTACTCTTCTTATGCAGGGTTACCCGTAGCCGGCGGGGGAGCCAAAGGGGAAATTTGCCCCTCCCCCCAAATAAGGATAAAGTGAACTATGCCTACAAACCACAGTTAAAAATTCTCCCAGAATGCAGGAATTCCTATTCTGGGGACTCTAGATTTCAAAATTTTTCCTGGACCCCCTGTTGTATAAACATTCAAAACCGAAGAAAATAATCTTGGTAATTGTCCTAAAACAAAGACCATGTCAAGTCCGTTCTGCGCATCAGTTTTGCTCATAACAAAGGGGACCCACAGGTATAAACATTGCCCAAATTTTGCATCTTTCGAACTTTTTTGAATTGAAACGTACTCTAGTTTATATTCATTTACAATTGCGAACCAGAAAAAGTGTTAGATATTCAGTTAGTATGTCTTATTTTACAAATATAGCAGTTCAAAATGTAAACAAAGCGTTTGTTTACATTACGGACTTGACATGGTCTTTAAGAATATGTAAATCAATCTCTAAAGGAGCACATAACTTCAAGAATCTTTGACGATAGAAAATCACTAGGACCCAAATATTAAACTTGCCCCGGGCCCCCAGATTTCTCTGTGCGGCTCTGTTCTTTATGTTGAACACATCTGGTAGAAATGCCTATACAAATAAACAATTGGTAGTGAATGTCATGGCTGCAGAAATCTGCAGTATTGTGGCTGTTGAAGAGCGTGGATCCGGAATTGCGAGATTACGAAATTGCGGACGCTGAGAAGAGATAAAAGGATTAAAACTTGGAAAATGGGATAATTTATGACAATTTATCTGACAATTTATGATTTTTGATTCAGCAATTTCGGATCCACTTCTTATCACGACGCCAATCGTTGATATACATAAAACAATCTCGTAGAATAAGCGACATGCTTGATCATTTAGTCGTCCTTGTGATTGGACAATGGCTTGGAGTGGTACAAACTTGATCTATGGTTGGGGTCACAATCATCGTGGTCAGTTAGGAGGTGTAGAAGGTCCTAAGGTGAAAATACCACAGCAATGTGATACTCTTTCACCACTCAAACCTGTACAGATCTGTGGTGGGGAACAGTCATTGTTTATTGTAACAGCTGATGGCAAGGTAAGTATTGATAGTTGTTCTTATTGCATGCAGTGAACTGCTGGAACGATAACTCTGGCTCTGTTTTTGAAGCTAAAGATGGTGGGAAATGAAGACCGTCTTGTAGGTATGCCCTAGGTCTCTACGCGGAAGTTCACCAAATTCAGTCACAGAATAATATGGACTGCATTTGCATCAATCTTACCTATTCATTTAGTTTTTACCTTTTAGGTAGGTTATTTATCACTAAAAATGAGCATTTATGTTCAAAAACTTGAAAAATATCGACCCGAAAACATTAGCCATTTTTCATACACGCGTATTTTATACCTACAGGAGATCACTCAATAGGCAATCATGTTGCATTATTATATTTAGTATTATATTCTTCGTTCGCACACTGCGCCTGATTAATCGCCATCTTGGCGAGTTTACCTTACAATAAAGTAGTTCAGTGAATTTACTATTGTTAGTTGCTAACAGAAGCAATGCGTATTATGAGTTATTTTATAATATCTGGCTTAAAACAACTAGCAATAAAGAATATATAATTTTGCGCGTTTTAAAAATCAGCCACGATTTCAAAAAAGCAATTGTGATTCAAAACCTTTAGCAATCTTCGACAGTATTTTAAAGACTCGTTGAAATTAGTCAGTAAGAATATTCGTGTAATTTCCACTTTGATTACCCAGGTGTACGCTACTGGTTATGGTCATGGTGGAAGATTGGGACTTGGTGGGTCTGAAACCGTCATGAGCCCGCGATTGCTTGAAACACTACAACATTACGTCATCAAGAAAGTAGCTGTACATTGTGGAGGAAAACATTCTTTAGCATTGACTTCAGATGGTGATGTTTTCTCGTGGGGAGAGTGTGATGATGGAAGACTAGGACACGGCAATAGATTGTAAGATAATAACAGTTATAATTTTAATTTCTTTATATTTAGCCCTTGCAAGTGACGTCACAAATGTCAAATGCTTAATGCTAAAAACATACTCGGAGACAATTAGCCGTCAAAATGTCCCAGGTTTACTTCGGTAGAGCAGCTGTTCATTGTCTTTATTTAAACATGCTTAATACAAATTCAGAAAGGCAATTTTCTGGCGAATTTTCTCAAGCTATCCATTATTTTTGCCACCCAAAATCGTATTTCTTAGCGTGACGTAATATTCCCACATGACTGACCGCTATACTCACTGTGGGGCCTTGCTGCTTGTGTATGACACAAAACGTTTATACAGTTCGGCATGAGCCCGCGGTAAGATAGAGAAGATGAGTTATGAATTTTATATTAACTATGATATGACACTGTCCCAGAATATACTGGGGCCGGTTGTTCGAATGTCGATCAGCTTAACCCTATGTTTGTAATTTAACCTAAAGTTCAAAGCAAACTTCCCAACAGCTTGTCTATAAATTCGGACATATTTCTTCAGAAATATTATCTGGATCAACAGGAGTTCACTTCCTGAAGCCTTTAAATAAACAGACGTGTAGAAATACACAAACCAAAACAGCGGGTTAAATTTTAACCCAGGGTTAGCGCTTACCCACCTTTGAACAACCGGCCCCTGGTCTGTAAATGCTTATAGCAAATGCATTTTCATATTAGCCCGATACATCCACCTCAGCGAGATATACATGCCAGCCGCTCTAGGTGAGATCCCACCTCGCACTAGGCGAATGAAGCTGTATAAAGATTTCAGACATCATTAGAATGATAAAATCGTGCAACTATTTAGTTTTGTCAGTCTCAACGACAAAATAATTTGATGGCGCGATGGTTTAACGCAACCTCGTTCCCAGGGTCTTCCCTCTTGGTTTTAACGTTGGTGCAAATACAGATATTTAACATAGAACTGGATTCTAATAGCAAAATCTTTGACAATGAAGAAGTTGGGTGCCCGCCACTATACAGTGCCTAACCGATTTACGCTTGTGTATACCCGAGACCACCTAATATTCACATAATTATACAGTTTATTATAAATGCTTGTGTTTGTTTGTTTGTTTGTTTGTTTGTTTGTTTGTTTGTTTGTTTGTTTGTTTGTTTGTTTGTTTGTTTCCAGAAGTCCTCTGTATTAAAAATTGCGTGACGGAAGCAATTCTAAGGTCTATTAGGCTTTTAACCATTGGCTATGCGATTGGGTTTGGTAACAACGTCTAATAAGCTTATTTACATTTTTTAAAGATCGTGTGATCGTCCTCGGATAATTGACGCACTGTGTGGAAAATCTGTGGTTGATGTGACTTGTGGAGGTTCTCACAGTGCTGCAATTACGTCGTCTGGTGAACTATACACCTGGGGTAAAGGTCGTTATGGTAGACTTGGTCATGGTGACAGTGAAGATCAACTGGTACCAAAGAAAGTGGAAGCATTTGATGGTCATCGCGTCATTGATGTTGCATGTGGTAGTGGTGACGCACAAACCCTTGCCTTGACTGATGATAATTGTGTATGGTCGTGGGGAGATGGTGACTACGGGAAACTGGGTCGAGGAGGCAGTGACGGTTGTAAGGTTCCTGTGAAAATTGATACTTTGACATCAGCTGGAATAGTCTCTGTAGCATGTGGTTCACAGTTCTCAGTTGCTTTGTCCAAGAATGGTGAGCTGTATACTTGGTAAGTATGAGCGCCATTCAACTAAGTCTGGGCGAGCTATGTAGTCTACTCAAATATCACGCACCCGTCACGAGTAGCGCGTGCAAGGCATTTTTTAATACCAAGGACTGGTGGGGCATTTGCCTCACTGGGCCCCTTTCTCTGCTCCACCACTGAAGAAAAAAAATGGTCTATTGCCCCAAAGTCATGGCCCTAGGACCTGTATTGAGTAAATGAGTTTAACATTGAAAAGAAGTTTATGTTGTGTTTGAATGTTTAACATGCAATTTATTACAAATTTCACCGTTAAAACTTCGTTTGGGGAAGCTGAGATTTTTTTTTAATGTCTTTTCAAATGCAGGAAACGCTTTTTCAGAGGCCCAAATTTTAAAAATTTCCTGGGAGGGGCATGCTCCCAGACCCCCTAGCTAACTCGTGCCTGCGGTACTCGGCTCACACCTTCGGCGATCGCATACTATCCTGGGGGGAGGGCAAGGAAAATGGGCCCTTTGGCAGTTTTGCCCCACCACTGAAGAATCCTTAAAAAATGCACTGAGCGCGTGCTTAACACCTGTAAACATGCGTGCTTCTTCGCATGATAAAATTTTACGCATGCCTAAACATTTATCATGTTCAACCTATATTTTGTCACGCCAGCATCAACCGCGCGATAAGGCAAATTAATACTAGTCGGAATTTTATTCTGTGAGTTTTTAAAATTTGCAAATTGAACGAATATAATAAGATCAACAACATATTAAGTACGTTTTCCAAAAATTTCATGAGATGGGATTCTTTTCAAACAGTGAAATCTCTAGCGAAGAATCTGTCCTGATAAATTTATTCATAGTTACATTTTTTTATTTCTAAGTCTGTGCAACCCATAAATCATACCAAATCATAAATCATGGCCACATAAAATGTATTTACCAATATTGAGAGTATAGGGTGCCACCTGAGTAAATACAAATCATGAATGCTTTTGTGTGTGCATGGCCAACGAGCCGCTTTGACGAGTTTTCCACTAATTTTCTTAGTACTATATGATGTATTTCGTGAACATAAATAAACAGAAAAAGGTCAAATAGAATAGGTCCACGAGCGTCTCTGGTACAGGCTTGAAAAAGTTTTACTCGTAATCTGTCTTGATATCTGCAAAACTAATCGTTTCATGATTCGTTCGTGATACTAGTCGTAATTGGTCATAAATAATTAGGTTGTCTACATTAATTACATCTATGATTATCTATGATTGAGTTATGGATAACTAGTAACATGCGGGCACTTCCAGTGCAGCATGAAGTCAGATTGAACAAAACGCGTCGAAGTGCGCAACGTCTTGTTGAAGTCATCCAAGCACTCTTATTGTTTTCCCAGGGGCAAAGGTGACTACTTTCGTCTTGGTCATGGTACAGATGAACATGTTCGAATACCAAAGAAAGTTTCAGCATTACAAGATAAGAAGATCATTTGTGTGGCAACGGGATCATTGCATTGTGTAGCATGTACTGACACCGGGGAAGTTTATACTTGGGGAGATAATGATGAAGGACAGTTAGGTGATGCAAGTACGAATGCTGTACAAAGACCACGTTTAGTTACTGCTTTACAGGTTAGTTCCTCATGCATGAGGCAATTCGCTAACATGTCGACATTCCACCTTACTTCTGTAAATCAAACGAAAATGTGAGCTGATTATCGCCTTCATATCTCGTCAATTTGAGATCTAGTTAAGTTTTGATGAGATTCAATAAACTTTGTAACCAGTGAAAAGGGTTCGTATGAATTGAAGGGAATTATACGCAGCTGGATTTCCCATTTCATGGAAACACGCTCATGAAAATGAAATATTGTGGCTGCATTCGTGATAGGAAATTAATACCAAAGTAAAAATTCCTGTTTATAAATTGTCTCAAACAGTATCTAAAAATAGAACTACGTGCATATAGCTAGTCTAAAGCAATGGAAATTAAATTCTCGTGTAAATAGAGAACACTGGCTGGTCAGGTATCATCATCTCTCGTGTTGATGCAAATTCAATTTTTATTCAAATAAAATCTCTGTTTCTGATAATATTATTAGGGTAAAAAGATCAATCGTGTAGCTTGTGGTTCTGCTCACACATTAGCTTGGTCAACATCGAAAGCTGTCAACTCTGGAAAACTCCCAGACGCCATACCCATGGAATACAGTCACCTTCATAACATACCTCCAGTAACGTTACGAAACCGTCTCATTATGTTACATCATTTCTCAGAAATGTTCTGTAGCGCATTTCCAATGTTTGATCTCATGCCAGCGCAATCTGGTGATAAACCCAACGTCCTGCAAATCAACCTTGATACGCTTAGAGCAGTGTTAGTCTCCTCTGTTAAGGTATGTTCAAACTGTAATCTTATAGTTTATCGCTATTTAGAATAGAAACTTACCATGATTCTAAAACAAGGTGTACCAACAAAATGTGCTTTTGCTATTTTGCTTATATAGTCTTTTTTCTCTTATAATTGCCTTGATTACATTCGCGTTTACTGTACTTATCGTTGGACCCTCTGGCATAGTTATGTCTATGAACGGTCTGTGCCAGGGTAGATGTGCCAATAATAAAAGCTTAGGATTGATAGGGATACAACTACCTGAAAAATACAAGGAGAACATTTCGAGAGAAGGCCCTTCGTCGAGAAGGTAGTGAAATAACTTGCATCCCTATCAACCGGAACCTTCACTATCTATGTTTATGTGTGCATTCCGTTTAACATATATGGGGCTTCGGTGGCCAAGTGGTTAGCGCACTTGCCTTTCACCTCTGAGGCCGCAGGTTCAGGCCTCAGTGAGAACTATCTCAATGCGACTCGAACCCAGTCCTCATGTGAGAAGAGTAAAAGTCAACGCTCTGCCGAAAGTCGTGGGTTTTCCCCGGGTACTCCGGTTTCCTCCCACAGGGAAAGTTGACAGGGTGGGTTAGGTAAAAAGGTCCCACAGTAATTGGCATATGCTGTTGTGGTGACCCTGCCCTAGTTGGCAAAGCTAAATAAATATATTTGATATTGCGTTGTTTAGGATTCTACGTTCCGTAAGATCATTCAAGGCACGATGGTTCGTGATCGTCAACATGGTCCTGTGATTCAACTGAACCGCATGCAAGTGAAGAAAAGTCGACATAAAGGTGGTCTGGCTGGGCCCGATGGTACAAAGTCTGTATTTGGTCAAGTATTCTCTAATATCTCAAGTTTCTCCCAAGAGAGTTACCTACTTGCACACCGTATTTGGAAAGTGAAATTTATTGGTGAGAGTGTGGATGATTGTGGTGGTGGTTACTCGGAGTCCATTGCAGAGATTTGTGATGAACTTCAGAATGGTTCACTACCCCTCCTTGTTGTTACACCAAATGGTCGTGAAGAATCTGGAGCCAATAGAGACTGCTTTATAATCAACCCAGATGCAGACTCCCCTGTACACATTAGCATGTTTCGTTTCATGGGAATTTTACTTGGAATCGCAATTCGAACTGGTAGTCCATTAAGTCTGAACCTAGCTGAACCTTGTTGGAAGCAGTTTGCTGGCATGGCACTAAGTGGAATGGATCTTGCTGAAATGGATAAAGATTACATTCCAGGACTGCTGTGTATCCGTGATATGGATGAAAAAGGTTTTGAAGCAATGAATATGGCGTTCAGTACCCCAAGTGCAAGCGGACGTGAAGTTCAACTGGACTCGAAATTATCAAGCATTAATTTCGAGAATAAAGAGGAGTACGTGAGACGCGCTTTGAACTACAGACTAGGCGAGTTTAATCGTCAAGTTGCTTCTATTCGTGAAGGTATGGCTGAAGTTATACCTGTTCCATTATTATCATTGTTCACTGGTGTGGAGATCGAAACGATGGTTTGTGGCAGTCCAGATATACCACTTGATTTATTGAAGTCAGTTACTACATACAAAGGTATTGATCCAAGTGCTGCTCTGATCAAATGGTTCTGGCAAACACTCGAGCAATTCTCAAACACAGAGAGATCTTTGTTTCTTCGTTTTGTCTGGGGTCGTACTCGCTTACCTCGTACTATTGCTGATTTCCGTGGCAGAGATTTTGTCATTCAGGTACACTATATTTTATGTCTATAAGAATTGGTGGTACAGCGGCTTATTGATTATTTAGTTAGTTTGGCAGATTAAAAGTGTTTATCCATGACGAAAAGCAATAAAGCCGCAAAACATTGTGGTTTAACATATTCATAATGCGTTACGTTATCGAAGTATATGAGAAAATATAATCAACTGTGCCCGGATCGTATATATATACTCGTTATTTCAGCATCGACAAAACCCGAACCCCTATATAATATGAATTTATACTCGTGGTATTCACATTTCAAATTATACAAAATGGCAATCCTGCAAACAATTGATAGATTGCAACTTTAGTGAAAAATTTAAATATTTTTACTACGAACTGTATCAATCAGAGCATTGGACTAGTATTCCAAAGGTCGTAGGTTCGATTCCCACCGTCACCAGGCATATTTTTCAAGCTTGCCCTGTGTGGATATACACTCAGAGTAACATCACAAACATCGTATCTGTATCACTTGAAAATGTTAGGTGCTATACAGAATGCAAATAATTAAAATGGTATCCCATTTATCGTCGCTGTTTCCATCCCATGATTTTGTAATATATTTTGATGCAGTTCTTTCTTCCTAGGTGTTGGACAAGTATAATCCGCCAGATGAGTTCTTGCCTGAAAGTTACACCTGTTTCTTTCTTCTCAAGTTACCTCGTTACTCGCATCCCAGAGTACTTAGCGAGAAATTAAAATATGCCATATATTTCTGCAAGTCCATTGATTCTGACGAGTACGCAAGAATTGACATGGCTGCGGAAACTGACGTAGACAGTGACTGACATTAGGCTGACTAAATCTATCTTAAATCAACTTTAATGTGAATATTTGTAACAAGGTTTTATCTACAACCAAGTGGAGAAAGCGAGCGGGGTGACAATTAACGTGAAAATAAACATTTAGCCACGAGGACTTTTCATGTCCCGAACTAAATAATAGAAATTACTTTCCTTCTCAAATTGCAAAATTTTCCAGTATTTCTTCAAATTTTGTTCAGTTTGCCTTTTAAAATCAGCTGCCATGCCAAAACAACGAAGTTTAACTAAATGGCAATTAATTGTTTCGGCATATGACAAGTACGCCGTGTAAAACTGCCCTTATCTTTTGACTATTAGGGAGTATTTTATATCTTGTGGGAAAATGTTTAGGTTATAACATCACATAATTCGATCGCTGCCCCTTCACTTTACTAAAGTTGGCTGCGTGTGTGTTGTCATCCTAGCAGCTTGAAGTCTGTAATGCTGTAATGAATTGTATAGTTATTTGTATATATATTGATGTGAAAAATTAGATTGAATTCAGAAATATTTTTAGCATTCTTTACAGTGTTTGTATAGCGGCCATGGATCCCTGATTAAGAATGGGAAAGTAGGTGAACGTCCATTGTTTCCATTGGGAACAAGGAGGCGAACCACTTCGCGGGTTTTCCTACATGAACAACACAACTCTACGTCACCCATGCCCAACTCGCTACACATTCCCCATGCTCAAATCGCTAAATTCACCATTCCCAAAACCCTGCATGCATTCTCCATATTCTCAACCCCACTACAGTTTAAAATAAACAACCGTGCGTCGCTGAATGCTAGTGAGCGGTGGATCCTTGATTGAAGGATCTGGATCAAGGGAAATTAAATGAAAACCGTCGCCATTGTAGCCTCCTGCGCAGACGTTGTTAGTGGCCGAGGTGGGGCCTATCGCCATTGGGGAACCTGAGGAAAGGTCTGGATATTTTATTCTCCTTCCTGGCAAAGTCTCTTGTGTAAACTCGTACTTAAAAAAGTCTGTTTCAACACCCCCTGCATGCAGATGGGGGTATTGGACTCGTATATTTCCTATTTTATATCTTGAAAATCAAGCTGAATATCTGTGCTTTTAAACAGTAAATATATAGCAAATATCTTACAAGGATGCATGCATAAATGTCCCCCTGTTAAGATTTTGTGCCCAAAAATAACTGATGGTTACCCACGATGCAGTTTCCCAAATTACGATAAAATCACGTGGATTGGCCCCAATCATAATCGCGTGCACTGCGTCCACGACTGCTCAAGTGAATACGAGTGATCATGACGCCAAATTCTCCATGATTGACGCAAATATTCATGCTTGGTTAGTACCCATCTTGTAACGTTAGTACCTAGTACCTAGTATATAAAACCTAGTGTATATAAGGGTAATGAACCAATACGGTCAATGTATCATTAGGGAGACGGACTATTGGGGTTCCAGCTTTGGCTTATGCCGCCGGATCACATTTATGATTTATACCATTAATTCACTGAACAGAAGGATGAATGCTGTGGAATCGGATACAAACCTCGATTAAGTCCTGTGACAACCCCTGTATCGGCATTTCTAAATTTTGTAGTAAAGAAGATCTGGTTTACCACCGTGCTCTGTAATCCATGTTTGTAATCCATTATTTGTACATTAATTTATTTAACTGTTGCGAAAATACATTATAAAAACATAGTTACAAACGGACAATATAAGGGGCTGTTTACATGATCCCGCTTTGCCGGGACGGGATAGAAGGCGAGATGGTTTTGATGTATTGAAATAAGTCACTAGGGTTAAGGGCGTTGTCGTGGAACCAGCAATGAAGTTAGAACTTCGATTCTTGTGTGTTCGTTTTGTTTCCTTTTGAACACAATTATACTTACATAAAACGGAATTTTACTCCGAGACAAATAACTGAACGCTGCAGGGATGTGAATCAGTTATGTGAGTACGTCATAGAATGATAAATGGTTCGTGCAAGGGTTGCTTCGGGTCAGATGGTACGTCTTGGATGTGAAGACAAACGATTTATTACCTCACCTTCATTAACCTTCGTTCTGTTGTGTGTGTATCAAATAGGAACCTTTAGCTTGCTGGACGGGAACACGACCACGACGGGTATTAAATGAGTAAATAAAATCTTTAATATTGTAGAATGAATAACTAAACGACCACTAGACGTCCTCATTCTGTTTACAACGCCAAAGTTCCACCTTCAATTTCTCCCTTATATATCTTCGTTTTTCATTCTCATTGTAATAACTCGTAGCATCTCCACTTTAAGTTCTTCACTGGTTCCTCAAGGTTCTTCACTTGTTCTTCCAGTGTTGCTATCGTTTTGTACGAAAAATACAAGGAGAACGTCAACGTTTCCAGCGAAGGCCCTTCGTCCAGGTTCGAACTTGGTCAATATTCAACACCGCACTCGGTTGCATACACCAGGAACCGGCGGGCTTTTGTTAAACATGTCCGTGTAATTTTGTGAATTTAATTTTGTGACACAATTTCTACAAGTGTCTTCAATAAAAGGTGATGAGTACACAAGTAATGCTGTTTGATCTGAAAGCATGCTGAGAACAGTTACATAAATCCTTGCCATTATCATGAACAATCTCCTAAACCTTCACTCAATGTCTCTAGCAGGTTTTCTTTGTTCGTTTGTACACGACAAAAATTGGCAAGTTTCCCTGAACGAAGTAATTGTTTTAAAAGCTATTTAATTATACCAGCTGTTGGACAAAGAAAACTTATTCGAGTGGTGTGGCCGACAAGGAAAACTTGGGCTTTAACGAAAGGAAAGGAAAACTTGGGCTTTAACGAAAGCGACTTCTCAAACAACCTGTCAATTTTTTATCGTATACACACGATGCCATTAGGAAATATTAAAACGTTTCAAGAGTATACTTATCATTAATGGGAAAGATACGTAGCGATAGGACAGCACTTACAAGAAACAAGAAAGTAATTTTGTCATGGATGCTTGTAAAGAAAAACTTGGATGGGACAGTAATTTTAGTTCACAAAAACGATTACAGACGTTGACATTAACATGCATGACCCCGTGCTTTGCTGGAGCTTCTGTAACACCTTCGATATTTTGCTTTCATCTGTGCCACCTGCCGGCCTTCACTACGTCAGGCTCGGACAATACACATTTTTGTGAGCACTTCCAGTGCTAATTACGTGACTTGTGTAGTTGTGCATGCTGCAATTCGTTTAGTTGTATAAAATATACAATAAACATGCAACTCAACCACTAATAAAGTACAAATTCATCGAATTAATTGACTAAAGTCAAAGACAGTGGTTACTAATCAGTCTAGGAAATTTCAGCGTCTAGGAAATTGCTTGTCGTCACTCATCAGAACTGATTCACCATTATAAACTGACGTTCTATAGACGCTTTTTATAAACCCTCTCTGTCTGACTATACAAATGTGACAAATCGCGGTATTATGCACAGGATGAACGTCAATTATAAAATAACCTTAAATTATGCTGTGGTTACATGCATGAACAGTACTCGGTAGTTTAATAATTATTTTGGCAATTTCTAAAATCTACGCACGCGCACTGACACTGCCTTTGCTACTGATTTTTATCATTCATGCATGTTTAGTGCAACGCAATCATTTTTGATGTCAAATTCAACATTTTTGCTTTCCAAAATGATTTTTATACCAAATTGACAGCGTTTTCACAGTAAATTAAAAATCTTACTCAAATATTAACTTCCGCTTAATAACCTAGTCGTCGTAACCTCTTCAATTAATTTCGACATTTCTGATGCGATTAATACGCAATGTGTGTAGGTACTCAACGTTTGTAAGCAATGAGTCAGTCACGTCGCTCAACAATAAAACGCAGTTGATCATATAGAATTTATGAGCAACAACAGCGTGTCCTGTAGACAACAAAATCCCTTTGTTTAACTTTAGGCTCCAGTGGAAATCGTCGTTTTCAAATATTGACATAGACTCGTGAAAGTTGTTGTAGATCAAAGGAGAGCGAAGGCAAATATACGAGTGCATTAAACATATCGAGCGACTGAAAGGTATGCTCATTATTGCTTAGCTTAGAAATCAACGCAAATAACGCACGCGCATGGTCATTGTAGCCCTTCATGTGCGAATGTTGAGAATTATCAAGGGTCTTAGCGTTCCTATGTGAATACGGATTTGATCTGATTTTCATTGGGATTTTTCCATTAGGGAGGCTCAGTGTGAACACAATAATATAAATGAGATTCCTGTTGAATGACGCCTACTAAAGATCATCAAAATAACATCAACATAATTAGTGTTTGTAGACTCGTATCAAAGTTTGACGTGAACTCACAAAGACTTCTAGAGCGACTTGATTGTTTATATTGCGAGGGCTTTGTCTCAACGCGACCGTCATCCTTAATTGCTCATTAACAATTGATAAAGGATCACTGAACACAACAAGTAGAGTCCCTAATAAGTTTTTAAAACTTTCCAAGAGCAATTGGAACAAATTCCTTGGATTAATCAGCTCATGTTTTGTATGCTGTACAATGTTAGTAAAACAAATACACTTGAGTAACAGTAGAGCAAGGAGGATAACTGAATGCTTCTAACGAATATCAGTTTCATCACATATAAACTGTCTTAACAAAAAAATGTTCCAAAACATCCAGCATGTAAAAGAACATTTTGCAGTGTTGCATGTGTTGAAAACTTTGCTTTCACTTAAGACGAGTAAACTTTTTAAATCTTTTCGATCAAACCGCCTCCGATTAAAATGAAAATGGTTTAGGTGTAGACGACTGAAAATACCACAATCACTCTGGAAGAGTTGCCTAAAAATTAACACATAGCACAAACAAAATGCCTTCCTTTGTAGAGCATGCACCACATAAATGGTGTACACACACAAAACAACCATACAATGCACACCTAAAATAAATTGGCAAGATTTTAACCTCGAATAGACTTTACTTTGTATTGCACTTTTGCCCCAATGGCCTCGTTTCCATGTTTGCCTGGTTTAGAATGGCAGGTACACATGAAGGTTATATCGCCATGATTCATGCACAAATATGTTTCTCTTTGATCTTGAGTCCAGTCACAAACTTATCCTTAACATTTGGGTCTGCCTTATGTTCGTAGTTATTGTTTCTAATATTAACACGAACCCTGCAAAGTATGGTCATGTATTTGTTGCATAAGGAAAACGTGCAGTCATTTTCGTATGGAAAAGATGTTGTCTTTCAAATGTCAACCTCTTTTAACTTCATGCAATTTTCCTCCTATACCTCTGCTGTTCATTTCCTGTATCACTGGAGATGGCCCTTCAAAAATTCATGGTTTTATCTGGGAAACAGGTTACAATAAACATGTTAGGAAATGATTGTACAGTTTATTATATAGTATAGAGTGAGATACTGAAAAATACACAGTGAGATATTTTCCATATCTTCACTAGTGAAGATATCGATCACGTGACTTTTTCCAATTTGGTTTTGAACGTAAAATTTCACAATTTTTTGCTTGAGACTATATAATAAACAGAACATTACACGGTGGCTTGAAGATATGACTTTTATCTTGTGTTAAAAACAATATTTTACTCACTCGCTGCGCTCGTTCGTAAAATATTGTTAGAGTTTTACCGCCGCCGTGTAATATCCTCTATATATCACTAAATCCATAGTATACCAGATTATTTCCATACTATGGCCATAGTACGGAAATTTCAATTAGTATGAAAATTGGATTTCTCTACTATTTCCAACGAAGATTCATACTATTTCCAAAGTAAAGATTTTGAAAAAAAATTCCAATGTAATGGCGCCCACATTCCTGGCCAGTTGTTGATAAAAAATGGAGACGAAAGGGTTTTAGTACGCCAGTAAATTTGTGATAGTTGTTTTATCAACCAATAGGACATTTGGAAGCAGATATGTGATTCATGTTCCAATGAATAGCACTTCAATAAAATAATTCTAGTCAGTGCTACATTCTAATAATTTTGTAAAATATGTATTTTTCAAACATTTTGGACTCAACTACTGTGATGTCATTTTAAGGGAAATGTGTCCCACGTGCTGACGGATCTTGTTAGAATATTTCATTAGGTGAGGATCATTGGAAATACAATACAATGAAATAGTCCTCAAACCAAGATCCGTTAGCTCATGGTATGCAGTTTACATAGAAACCCACCCATTCATAGTGTTTTCCTATGTCAACGGTACACGGAACAATTAGCGGGAATTTAATATTGATTGCGCTAAAAAGATGTGTGTGTGTGTACTATTGAACTAGGACATCTGTCATCATGCCGTCGTTTTCCTGCCAAGCCACCTGTGTTCAAGGTCATTGCTTCTTAATTGCATGTATTAAATAATGGGGGAGGACTTTCCTGTCAATCTTTCATTTCTATAAAGCTAACTAGAATTGTTCTGAAGTCTCGAGGTGTGCATGTTACCTCAAAACGTTCCATTTATTCATTCAACAACCCCTCGCTAAAGATGAAGAAGAAAGTCGTTTTATTCTTCTCAAATGTTGCACTGTAAAATATGGTGCTACGTTCGACCCTTTCGGCTGTGAGATTATATAGGAAGGGACGAGGGAGGGAGTCGCAGGCTCATCTATAATGGACCATTTGCATTATAGACTAAATTTTGATCTAAACAAGTCTAGACAAAAATTTCATCACAGCTTGAAAGAGCATCACAAAATTCTCCAAAGTTTCGTTGCGAAATGTTGTAAAATGCGGATAATATAGCCTTCCGAAGTTTGCCGTTTTCCAGTAATTTTGTATTACACGGGAGAAATTGACAGCCCAATACCCTTTGGGGCTGTCAATTTCCCGTTTGTAATACAAAATGACTGAAAATTACAAACTTCGCAAGGCTATATTATCCGCATTTTACAACATTTCCCAACGAAACTTTGGAATATTACTAATTTTGTGATGCTCTTTCAAGCTGTGATGACATTTTTGTCTAGACCTGTTTATATCAAAATTTAGTCTATAATGCCATTTGTATTATATACTAAATTTTGATAGTCTGAATTTTGATCCATTCAAACGAAAACTGTCTGAGTCAACGTAGCTAGGTTGTGACAAAAAAAACAACTCCGGATTGATAGGACTTTCAACTACCTCAAAAACACAAGTAAAACGTCGTCGTTTCGAGCGTCTTCATCGGGAATTCGAAAGGGGGGGGGGGGCTTCGCTCGAAACGTCGAAGATTTACTTGTATTTTTCAAGTAGTTGAATCCCTATTGGCGATCCGCAGATTTTTACAATTCAAACAACACACCGTATTATGTGTGTGCCGAACCTAATCCAAATGGCCTGAAGTCATTGTTTGAGCTCATTGTCCATTGACATCGCCGTTTGTACTAGCTATATAGCCATAGAGTTAAAAATATCTTGAAATGGTATTTACTATTCGTACTGCGTACAGCAATGGCAATGTGCCACTGAATTTGAACTGGGATGATATTCACGGTACACAGTGTTGCTATTTCATAAAGAACATTGGCACTTCACCATGTCAATACTAGTTAAAAATGGTCAACACGTCCTTTCCACTTCAGTCAGTGCCAGGTTTCTCGGATAGATGTTTAGATAAAACTTGTTGACAGCACTTAAAATCACTTTTAAACGTTCTTTCCTAATCAAGTTCCTGTGATAATTATATGCACTTGGACAGCTATACAGGGCGTTTTCAATTAGTAAATAGCCAGCAGCAAAATTAAATAAATTGATGTAGTGAAATGACAAAAAAACCGCGTTCATAAAATTATTTTTCTTTCAAAACATCGTTAAAACCCAAAAGTAAAGGCCCAGAGACGGCAGAGTCAGATCGTGGTCTATGTTATCGCAACAATAAAATGTCGTGTTTGTAGTGTTGTTTGCGTCATTTTTGTTTAACATCTCCCAGCGAGAAGACGGCTTTCAGATTTATGATTCTTTCCTTTGTGAGAAAGATTGCTGTCAGATGCAAAATACCACCACTAATGATTTTCTTTATTAGTTTTTTGGCGACAGCAAACATTAGTGACAAGGTTGTTATGCTCTGCATTTATTAAATCACCAGCTACATGCCATTGTTCACATCATTTACACATCGACACTATTTTGTTTATTGATTATTTTCATAAGATCAACGCCGTCCGTAATAACTTCTCTAAACAGACCAGCAATACAATCATATACACTCTATCAACATACATCATATACGCACGCAAAGTTGTATTGCAAATCATGAAAAAGCTACATGGTTTTGAACTTTTATTCTGAATTTCAACAAGTTTTACAGTTCGTGTATGCTTTAGGTCCAGCCTAAGTGACATTTCCCAATAATTTTGTAAATATTAACGGGTAATTAAAAGTGATATGAGTCTGTTTACCCAAATACTCGACTCTGATTGGTTTTCAATTCATTCCAATACAAAAACTGTACAATGTAAAAGGCGCGTTAAGGACGACCCCGCGCGACTCTTTAGTCTTTCACACTGCCCAGCCGTGCGATAACGAGAGCTGGAACGTACTTAAACCACGATAAAATTAATAACAAAAGCCTCGTAAATCCCTTCTTTCTCCTCATAACCGTGCCGAGTGAGTTGAAATCTACACACAAACAGTGGGATATCGCATTGTCCCATTCCAAGATGCATTCCGCGATCACTCCAAAATCGAGCGAAGAAACTGACCCAAATAATAATGTGAGCGTAAAAAGCGAGGAATTTGATGGTGGCTTGGTGGAAAAGACATTGGATAACGATGGTAATGTCATTAGATAAAGAGTTAGGATTATCAATGCAATTCAAAGAGTTGTTGAGAGCAATTATCGTAGTATTTCAAGAGGGATTAATCGTGTTAATCTTGAGTGTTAGAATAATATACTTTTGCATGAGGGATTCACAATTGTTCAGCCCACACGCCATCATGTATCGCATAAGGGTGGCAGGTTATTCCGTATACAGTATATACCGCATTTAAATCATGGTATCATGGTTAGTGTATATTTTATCAGACTTGAGTATAGATAAATTTCCTAACTATACACTTCCTAACTTCTCAAATTTTCATCTCAACAGAGCAATCCGTTGAAAGCCCAGGAAGTGTCTCCTCTGGTGAGAACAATGATGATACGAAGAAGCAAAAGAAACCAAGGCGGCAACGGACGCATTTTACAACTTATCAACTACAAGAACTGGAGGCATTCTTTGCGAGAAATCGGTATCCGGATATTTCAATGAGAGAGGAAATTGCTATGTGGACTACCTTAACCGAAGCACGAGTCAGGGTAAGCATGTATATGATGTTTGAAGCGTAAAAAATAGGGAAAGAAGGACTAACTTAAATTAGCTGTTGTGATTTAATCCCATACTTATAGGAATAAGCTCAATGCGAGCACCTAGTTTCTTCCTTAAAGTTTACTGCACTTTCGTATTTGTATATAAATCACTGGCGCTGCCTACGCACTACTTTATTATTCAAGTGTTAAAGCCGATGTTTGCTCGATATTAGAAATATAAAACATTTATCAAATGAGTCCCTGAGTCAAACGATTTTTTGACCCATTTTCTCAGTTAACATCATCGTGATTGGAAACAAACAAGAAAAACATTGAAATAACTGATAAACTACTTCGGTCCACTCACTCAAGAAAATATACTAGTCTACATTACACTTGGAAGGAAAGCTTGCCTCGCAATTTTGCAATTAGCAATGCATGAAAACGCCGGAATTTCTCATTTTCTTTTGAAATCAATACAAGGTTAAACGGGCAGTAAAAATGAGCAGCCAAGTTTGCATCTATATTTTTTGAATTTTAAATTTGGGAACCAAAGGAACGAAGATGATTAGTTTACTAAATGACCACATCTATTCAAATTGATTTAAATTGATGATGACAATTAAAAGAGCGGAATGCATCGGAATTTAATTGAACCGTTCAATGAGTTATTTTATTTGTATTTTACATTTTAAGTTTATGGTTGAAACCTTGAATGAAAAAAGCATTTCACTGTCATCACAGGGAATCTGAATTTATCATACATTTAGGTGCATGTTACACACACGGAAATGTACTGAATGCACACTACCAGTTTATATATCGTAATTAATATATGCCTATGGTCTCCAGATTTCTACTTGTAATGCTAATATCACAGTTTTGATGCTCATTCCCAGATCAGTGAGTTAGAAAGTACATGTGAAACTGAATAAATAAACGTCGCCAGGTTTTTGTCTGGTGGCGTTCACGATTTACTTTCAAAAAGCCGATAATTTGTCTCAGGCCGCCCAAAAACAATTACAGGAGTTCTGTCATCTGAAGATTAATGATCCATTATACTACGATATTTGATGCATGCTTTGTTTTGTGCTTTTGTCTGTGTTCCCTGAAGCTTACACTTGACTAGCGGATTTCTGTTTCTCGCGGGGTACAATGTATTCATTCGTTCAAAATTCAAATTCTGTAAGTTATGAATCGAGCGCTGATTTAAAGGATCAAGCTGAACGGTAATTAAAGATCGAGCTGAAATTTTGTTCAGCTAAAATTTTGTTCATTTGCTTAAGCTGTATTCTATAAGATGAGTTAGGAGTTTAAAAGACGTTTATTAGCCTGTTCTAAGACCTATATAGGCTATAATTCGAGTTGGTATTTTCCAATATTACCATGCATCTTCTGCATCAGGAATATGCCGAATATCTTCCCCCTTAGATCTACATTGACAGTGTACACTTGCCTAATTAATAAACTGTGCCTTCTCGCTATATACGAATACCTGCCGTGATAGCTTTTTCATGCTCAGTCATGACTTTAAAAAATCATTTTCTGATTTTGCATACCATGACTTATAACATCAAGGGTATATATAAGTTTACATGCATTTCAGAATTTGAAATTATGCTCATGATTGTTAATTAACTAGTGTAAGTTGCATGCAGTAGTAGACATCACGCAAGCAGTTCCTCAACCTTTCCTATATTTTGTACTAGTCCAAACATTGTGTTTTCAACTTCAAAATTACTTTAATTTTCGATTTGGTTTCATTTATTATATTAAAATTGGCGGTTGGTTCTCTCTTATCCAGCCGTGCAGCATTTGACGTGAGTCATATATTTGACCTCATGCATCTACTGTTTCCTTGCTCTTCCTCCCGTCCGCGTTATATAGTGTTGTAGTGTTGTTTCACACAATCACACACGTACTTCACGACTGGCATTTTGACAAGAGGAGTCATGATATATCCTTTCAAGTTCAGTTTAACTATTTTATAGGCTTTATAGCTCTATTAATTATATAGTAAGAGCCATTCCATACATTGCAGGAGTTTTACCACAACCGGGAAAAGGCAAACGTACCCGGGTATTGCCAGTCCTCGGTCCCGTGAAGATATAAAATGCACATGATTCTCTTGTGCTATCTTGCATGTGTGAACTAGCGCCGAAGTTAACACTCTGGCCGTCTGGCGATGGCGGGATTGTAATTCATGCTATTATAGATCGAGCCCATGCATGCATGATACTAGTATTATATACATGCACATGCATTCACATCAGCTAAATGTAGCCGAGTTTTTAAAGATTATTAAAATGGAAAATCATTTAGTAAGAGTTCCCTTGATGCGGAGTCATTTTCGGTTAATTTAATTTTACTGACAGTTTAAAAATTACTCAAAGTGCAACATAAATCATAATGCTACTCCGCGTATCTGCAACTCAAAACCGGGACATCAGAATCTTATTCTATATGCTTATGCTCAAGTTTAGACTGAGGCTTTATCAGGGACGCCGGAACGATGTACGTGAAGGCAAGGGGGCAGATTTTCGTGAAAGGGCACTTTTGAATTGATATATACTAAGAGATGTTTGCAAAACATCGGGAGTTGAACTTCGCCTAATCCTGTTTTCTGTTTCTTGAATGGTAGGGATGTGAGGGGGTTCTCCGCCAGGCGATTGTGCTATAACTACTATTCTTGAAGCTCGATGACTGCATTTATTGCGTTTTCTGAAGAAAATTCGTAGAAGAATTGCACTAACATTTCTGACAATTCGCTATTTCGCCAAGGCAATCTTTTAAACAATCTCGTTCCCAGAGTATGCCTGTTCGCGGCATACTCTGGGAACGAGATTGTCTTTTAAATTGAAAGGGCACCTTTGCCCCCTTGCCCCTCCTGGTAAAGGGCAACGGGGGCGGCTGCCCCTCCTGCTCCCCAGTTCCGGCGTCGCTGGGCTTTATCATAGCATGAACTGCAGGCACGAGACTAATATATGAATTGTATAAAGGTTTTTTCAAGCAGAACTTGAGCCATGAAACAGCTATCATGCAGATCCATAGACTTGAGAGTTTCACCTATAGTGATGACATGACAAAGTGGTGAAGGTTTAAGATATATTTGTTCATCTTGGTTAAGATTTCCTAGAAATCGTGCACCAAAAATCTTGGATGAAGATCATAGCCCTTAGCTATGCCTATATACAAACAACGTAACCCTTTTAGATACTTTTCAGCTTGTTGCACAGAAACACCGAAATATTAATCCAAATTGTGTTTTGCAACTAGTATCATTAATGTCATGACGGTACATTAAGGCTGCATGAGAAATTGTTGATGCACTACTACATGCATGCACGCATATTCATTCATGATGTGGGCAACTGATGAACATTATTAATTATATAGCTTACAATAATATTTATATTAACTTTATAGTTAGATTATATCAACAAGAAACTGGCTGGAGATTTTAAAATTTAATTCATTATCTATATATAAATTAACCACATACATGTACAGACTTTATATTGAGGTATGTTGCGTTACATGCACTATATGTGGCGGTGTACACGCCCAAAATGTTTCCATGGTGTGTTAATATATGTGTGTTTGTGGTAAATACATGCACTGAAACAGAAGATCAGTTTGAATACACGAATCTCGAGTCACTTGGTGAAATTTCTTGTTTAAGCCATGAGGTTAAGCAAACAGATATCGAAATTGCCAAAACGGAACTGTCGGTTCCTAATGAATGGTTGCAAAATTTACAATCGGAAGTTGTAAAGGTAGTTGTAATTTATGACTTTCAATTTGAAGTTGAATTGTTGTTAAATCAAACCCATTGTCATCGAAAGAAAGAAGATAGGAAGCGCTATCTTTATACAAACAACTAACACAACTATAGTTATAATTGAAGTATAGAAAAGTTCACAGTACATGGTTAGTGCACGAGAGTTGAATGCATTGGCCTGGACAACTGATGAATGTCTGAATAATAAGGTCGTACGAACATGTCCGTTACTGGCGTTAGGCGTTACTGAACCTCCAAGTATAAAACGTGAGGCATGAATTAGTTTCGGTGACGAAAATGATTTAACTGAATATCACAATGACAGCATATGCATGAAATATTCGAAATCTAGTCTGCACAATGCAAAAACAATCACAAAAACGCCGTTCGTTCATGTTTTTTTTTCTTTCAATCGTGTATTTAAAAAGCCGCTTGCTATAGAATTACATACCGCGGGCTCAACATACACATAAATCTGTTTTCTGCTGGTGGGTAATCTCGCGTAATTTTATTCATGCTTTCGAGCTGTGTAATGAACAATGTAAGAACCTGCAGTGCTACCAATTATACTCATTGCGACAAAAGGTTATGAATTCAACTCTCTCTTTCTCTTCTTCCCCCTCCCCCCGCCCCCGCACCCTCCTCAGCCAAGCATGCTACTCAGGTTATATATATTTATCGACTGTTGAAGCTAGCGCTATTATGATTGTATACGAACATATCTCAACGTATTTCTAATGAGAACTTCTTTACTTAGGTTTGGTTTAAAAACAGGCGTGCAAAATGGCGTAAGAAGGAGAGAAATAACCAGGCGACCGTGGCGAGTTTAGGTCCAGACACCAGGACTGCTGTCTTCCAAGCTGCTGCATTTGGTTGTGAACCTGGCACTATGCCGCCTGCTGATGATCCTTTCTATTATTCAAATTACACTTGGAATAAAACTCCTCCAAACAGTTTTGGATCTTTGAACCAGACAACGACAGGCTTCAACAATAACTTTTCACCACTCAGCCAGCCACGAGGAGGAACTCAAGTGAACCCACCTAGTTATAACTCATCAGCGATGTGCTTTAGTCCAACAGCAGAAAACACATTCCTGGGAATGCCAAGTCAACAGAGTAACCTACCTACATATCAACAGTCGTACGGATACCAAAATCAATACAACTACAAACATCCTGCAGGTTCATTTGTAGGAAACACTCAGCAATCTTTCAGTCCCACAACTATAATGAGTACAACAAATAAAACAGAATCAATGCCAACGATTTCTCGGTATAATCCTACATGTCTATATGGTGTAGATAGTAGGCCAGGTTTAGGATCAATATGAACTTTATGTCCTCTAGACTAAGTAAAAAAAGAATTGAGTGCGTATGTATTGATACTTAGACCCTAGAGAGTAAAAGACAGCTTTTTGTAAATTGAAGAAAGATGAAAGATAAGAATTTGCACCGTCGTTACAAGACATATTTTAATATGATCTAATATATGTAATTTGTATAGTCCAAAGATGTACATGCAATAGATTGTCCAGATGAATTGTCACTTTATACAAAATAATATAATTTTTTGTGTTTGTCATAATTTTAATCGTTTACTCCTTGCCGCCTCCTGTTAACATTCCCTAAGAGAGAAAGCCACGGAGTGTTCCCGGAGTTGATATAGTCCCTTTCAATTGTTTGATCGGGTCCACAATGGGAAGTCGTTACACTTTTTATGAAAATTATTAAAAGAGTTTCGCCCCAAATAAATAAATTGATAGGAATAGTCCGAAATGTCTATATTATAGACGATCCAGTATATTGAGTTTCCCCCTGCATGGCATGCTGACCGTACGAATTGAGTTCGCAGACGGACATCGATGGACGAATGGATGCCTTTAATTTTAATATGAAACATTTTTTTAAAAAGTTTATCTGCAGTTATCCGCGTTTATCCTTTTAGATATACAACGGCAATATTTAGTTAAAATATTGTCTTTTCGGAAAAAGCGGATATCAGTCGATGAGAATCAAAACTATATATAAACGTTTCTGACGAAGAACCAACAGATCGACCGATTTCTTCACAAATCACTTATGAGCTGGTAAGACGGAACAGAGGTTGAAATTGGGGCGAGCGAAGCCCCCCGAAAGAGATTAGAGTGGAAGAACTTCCTGATATTCTTCGCTGTCTGAAATGCAAATTTAAGGTCTGATTATGTATTGAATATTTATGTTAATACGTGTTTTGAAACAGTTTTTGTGGCTGGTTGGGTTAGACAAATCTTCGTGAGAACGTATGAAACTCTTGACTTCAAAGTTTCCTGGGGCAGCATATGACCACGCAGCAAGAGCTCCACCTTTGAATTTACTATATGAGTAAATTCTTAATTAAACACGTCCGAATTTATCATTATGATAAATTCGCGGCAAATTTTGAATTTATCATAATAATAAATTCGCGGCACCTAACACAACTTTTAACGTTAAAAATCGATCTAATTCAGGTTATCCTTAACCCCCCCTCATGTCATTTACAATAAAAGCAAATCGAGTTTCACGCGAGTAACAAAACAACGTTGACGGAGGTTCAACGATCATAAGCAATCTCACAACACATTTTGTATCGAGCAGTCTATACGTGTCAACACTACTGGAACATACTATAAATATATTTCTTATATACACATAAATATATCTTTTATATGCATTTTAAATTTAGAAAATCAAGGCTCTATCCAGTAATGATATTTCACTGATATTTTAGACGGATTTTGAAAAACAAAATAGTGTCTGAACGGAACTCCGGTGATCTACTGCATGGCCGTACGTACCTGCAGACCAGCCTCGTTGACAGGGCATTTCCTTGGGGTTGTCAGCCTCTTCGCTTCCCCAACCAACTCAATTTTACCGATCAATTTATCGACCATTTCCAATCAATTTACCGACGAACAAGTCACATTTTTTCCTACATAATCTCCGTTTCACCGACGAGTTTTCTTAAAGCCCTGTTTACACTATACGCTCAATTTTTGGTACGGCACGGATAAAATTGTTACCCGTACCACTTTTTTGGTTCTTGGTGACTACGTATTTAGGTAGTGCCGTACCAGAAATTGAGCGCAGTGTAAACGGGGCTTTAAAAGTGGGATGTGTTGTACCCCCATCCCCCTCCACTCGATACGACCCTGTTTAATTGGCGGCGAATGCGGCTACTGTCGCACTTCAGAGAAAATTAAAAGCAAACATGTCAAACATGTTTTGATATAATCGATATATTATTGCAAATTGAAATGCATTTTAACCTTTAATTGGAAAAAGTGTTGCTCTGCATGTTTTCATCTTAGCTTTTATTCACATAATTTTCGGCCAATATCACTTCTAGTGTTTCATTTTCGACTGAAAACGTGACGCTTTGCGGTGTGAGGGTGTCCGATCGTTCGGGCTGCTCAGCTGGGACTACAATCGTACACAGCCAAATGAAAGAGTTTGGTAACACAAAATAAAATAGCACGTCCTACTAGCCAAAACTAGGCAATGGCAATGCAAACCAATGCAATTTTTGTCTGCTACATCGGTTTGTTGACCAAATTCCGGCGATGTACACACGGAATAATTTTCAGCGAGAATTCGCAAGGTAAGTTGTTGCAGAACAATGGTCAATGCAAATTTTAAATAATGTGACATCATTTGAATTGCGAATTATCGCTAAAATTGTCCCATGCAAAACCGCCTTTAATTGATATATTCCTAAAATTTACCTATCTAATCAAGTAAATCAAACTAATCTACAACTCACATAAAATGATCTATATTGTAAGTTGTCGGCAATTGGTTCAATTTTAACGAATTTAAAGTCCCAATAATACAATATTTTGGGTTTTTTTAGGTTTAGTATATTCTATTTATACATGTAAAAGGTGTAAAACTTTGCATTTCTCTTTCATTATATCAACTCGAGGTTTATTTAGGGAGAAACAACCAGCGTGTCGTCTTGTGTCATCTCATAAAAGCTGGCAGGTGTTCCTCAGCCCGTCGTCGCGTTACTGATAGTGATAGCCAGTGAAGTATTGAGTGCGATCTGCGGAGGTCTTATTAAAACTTTGGAATGAATGAAATCATATACAAGTTTCAATTAAGTCAAATATAAAAGCAAGAGTCTGGCTTGCTAGTTGCCAAGTGGTCAACATTTTTGCAATCAAACATTCACAATATCAACAATATGTCACAGCTGGGGTTGACCGATTTTATTGTTATTCGCATCAAACAAACTTAAAGTATATGTAAATTAGCGGACATTTGCCTATTCCCCGTTTGTGGTTCGCAACAAAACGAGAATAGAAAGGAACAGAAGAAGTCGATAATCCTGCGTTTAGGCTGTGTTCACCGGTATAATTTGAGACTTGCGACCGTGAAGTGAAGTATTTCATTGGAAGACTAGTACGAGTTTGTTTCCATATTCAGCATTTCTGTGCTGTTCATTTTCCACTAGACATTTGAGAGCAGACTTGCGAGTGATGTTGTTTAGTCCGTTGGGAAATGAAAAGTAACAGCTTTTTTCTTTGTCAATTCACCTTCGTACTGGGCCTAGCTGCTCTTAGATTCGGCTTTTGTGTCGGAAATGTTCACTCTGAGAAGTAAGTAGCGCACATACGAATCCGACTGCTTGCGTGTTTATTGTCCTCAATTTGTTTACAGTATTACAGTGTTCTTTGAACTTTTGAAATATCAATAACAACGTTTGTACTTACAGCGTCGAGGCATGGGCTCACACCATTGGAGCGAAGATTCACAATTTTGCTGTTCATGCCACTGGCTCTGTAGCCGTAGAAAAGGTATAAACTAACTTATGATTTATTTGTAAGCGACATGTTGCTGATCAATAGACCGGACGGCAGACATATTATGAAATCAATGTTTCCGACACATTATATTGTAAACAATATTGGCATGAACGAATTTTCATTCCCTTCCATCTAATATTTCACTTTATATTTGGATTTTTGAGGAATTGGAAAAGTTGTCATTTGCAGCAAGAGCCAACAATGGGACAAGGATGGTTAAGGAAGTTAGCGAAAAGATGCGTAATTTTTTCAATAAGAAAATAAATTCTCTGCGGGTATGTTTTATTTACTCAGTTTTTGCATGCATGAAAAAAATGACAGCTGCTTAATATCAAGGCCAGACTGTCAAAAAGTTGAATAATATAATCATTATATTAAAAAACTCAAGAGATTTTAATAAATTGTAAAAATAACTTGTTAAAAATGTTACAGTAAAATTTCACCTCAATGAACCTCGAAGTTAAAAAGATTTTTACGAAAACGTTGTTTTTAAATGCTTTTAAAATGATGTTGCACCCGAGTGAAGAACTTTTGATGTAGGTTTCAATGAGGATTAAATAATAATTGTGTTTATTTTTTACGTAAACAGTTGGCTGTTTCACACAGGGCCACAGCCACTGGCAAGAGCCGTAGCGGTCCGAAAAATAACGCACGCCTATTAAAAACTGTTCAGTTTTGTATGTGTTTTTTTTATCACAATTATATACATTTTTAAAAAGAGAACTACCTGTAAAGGAAAATTTTAGCTTTGCTATTATTAATAAATTATATATGATGTTATTTTTAAAATTTGCACAACAAGGTTTCATCTTTAATATTCATGTTGTGCTATTAAGTACTTTAAAATTAAAAGGGGGGTTGTATGCTAGAGCTTAGAGCCAGAAAATTCTGAGGAAAAGTTTCAAAATAAGAACGTTTTGAAATCTGGAGCTTCAGTTGGCAGCTTCAGTTGTTAGCAAGGAGTCATATGTAGGCAAAATGTTAAAATATTGTGACAAACACTCTGGAACATTGGGGTAGGTGAATAGGCAATTCCACAGAGATATCACATTACCCTGTGCCCCTGTGTGAAACTCGTTAATAATTCACAAAAACACAAAAGAAATCATAACTGCATGTGAAGGAGTTTGTATATCTGATACAAAATCATGGTGATTTAAGATGTTGCCAAGCCATTTGTCTATATCCAATCGATACAACACTGCCAGGGTCATGTTGTAAATAGTATTTAAAAAACTCATTAATAATTCATGAAGAAAACACAAAGAAAAATCATAAGCGTGTCGTATCTGTATATGTGATACAGATTCATGTTGATTTACATAAACTTTAACTTTGATTTTCTCGGCCTAGACAACGTTTATTTTTAAAATTACTTCGCCAATGAAAGTTATTTACAACATTCGCATCCGTGTTGTATCGGATATACAAATTCTCGCCTTCAGCTCGAGTTTGTATATCCGATACAACACAGCCGCTCATGTTATAAATAGTACTTAGAGTCTCATTTTGGGCAAGATTTCACAGAAACATCAATGCTACAAAAAATCTAAACTTAACATATGATAAGCCTTATTGGATTGGCATAGAAATGAGGCATCCTCCTCTTTAATTTAATAATTAAACTTATGAATTCTAGATTCTCCAAAATTTGCATGTTGCCATGTTGGAGAGTGATTCGATCCACCTGCATGCTGAATAAGTTCCAAAATCCTAATAAACCTCAGGCCATCCTGGGAATGAAGAAAGATTACACTCTTGGGACCAGTTGTTCGAAAGCTGCATGGTTAGCTTGATCCAGGGTTAATGAAGAACTTCAAAGCTCTCTGTCCAACAACTTGCTTATAAACTTGACAATATTTTTTCCAGAAAGGGGGGGGTGTTTTGTGTTTGCCCCCAGATTGTTGGGCTGACTAGGCGAGCAATATCCGCTTCACAGTCGGGCAAAATTGGCTTATTATAAAAATAAGTAGAAGAAATTTTATCAATAAGACAATATTGGGGGAAATATGCTATATATATACTGTAGTTGAAAATGGAGGACAAATATAAAAGTTATAATAATTTATAATATATTCCGAAATTTTTTTCGTCGTCACCCAACAATTTTGAAAAGTTTGCATGAAACAATCTTTTTACAAGTCGTGCACAATGGGAAAAAGTCGGGCAAATTTCTTCTGCTGCCCTAATTTTTCCTTCACATACGCCTGTGCAAATAGGACACTTGGATTGTGAAGAGAACATATGTTGATCTAAAGGAGATGAGGACTAGAAAATCACTGTATTGTTCACTTGTTCGACCGCTATTACTAGCTATGCTCTCCCCGTGAATGAAAACTGCATTACAGGAAATTTATTCATCGAGATTAGCAGGAATGAAGATTTATAGATCTTGAAGAAAGTAGGAAGCAGTGACCTTTTAACTTGTAGTTTCAATTACATATTTAATATATTAGCTAGCTCACGTTACTGGATATATTAATAATATATTACGTATAGTTTTATGTAGTTTATTGGCAGCTGTAATCAGTTGGGGGCATTCAAAGCAGTACGGGAGGAAAAAGTTAGGGGGAGGGGGACGGACAAAAAATTGCCCGACATCATGGGCTTATTGATAAATTTAAATAGAAGGATTGTATCTCCTATACAAACGCGAGGAAATACAAAGTCAGTCTTAAAACGATCAATAAAAAATAGTTAAAGTATTAATTTACGAGTATTTCCAATATTCATTCTTTAAGATAATAAATTCGAAAACTCTTCACTCGTAGCCACGTTGCCATACGCCAGTTTGTTCGAGTCCGGGGGGGGGGAGGGGGGATGCTCCCCCAGGAAAAGTTTGAAAATCCGAGAGCTCTGACGATATTTCCTGCATTCTGAGGAAACTGTAGCTAATATATATTTCAAATTGCGTGCACTCCTCGGAAACCGGCGCCATTCAAATGACATGAACTCAAAATACATCAGTTTGGGAACGAGCGCACAGAGTATGTCAGTACGACGGTACTTGGTGTAAGCCTGCAGTACTGCATGAAAGCCTCTCAGATTAACATCAAATAGATTTAACACGGTGGTAAGGGATGCTTTTAGGCTTTTAGCTACATCAAAATGATGTTTCGTAAAACAGTACTTTTTCTATAATCGAGGTCAGGTTATCAGTTATTAAATAATCATCCAGTATAACTAATTAAATCGGATAAAACGTATTTTCCGTGAACAATATTTGGCCCTTGGCTACGGCCCTACACTCTATACTGCATTCAATAATTTACATTTTTTAAATAAAAACAAATTTCAATCTGAAACTGTGTTTTTAATATACTATATACACAAAACAGTGGCGAAGCTGTCATATTAAAATGTATTGTCTTAGATGTAGGTTAATTAGCATAGCATGACCAGTTGCCATGCCATGGCTATGACACTGAATTCACGAGAGTGTGTGAAAAATTCACAGTGATTAATTATCTGCGGCTATGTAAGATACAACAAAGATATTCAGGCGTAATGCCAAAGCTGATGGATTGAATCGCAAGGAAGCCAACGAGAGTGAAAGTTGTACAATTATATAAATGACAAATATAGTCAAAAGAAACGCGAAGGCGGGCATGCAGGCCCAGCAAATTGCCTGATTTTTAAGTAGAATCTGCATGACCACAATCTATAGTACACTTCTGTAATACATTAGCTAGAGTGGGACCATTTTAAGGCTCGTGTAATTACACTATCAAAGTTTCTGTGATCACACTAGGAATTTTGCAATGTTTAACACGGTTAAACGTTCCCTCAAATATTTCTTTAAAATCTTGCAAAACGTAAAACTTACCTATGCAAAATTCCTAGAAACTTTGATAGTGTAAACCAGCTTTTAGCAAAATATAATATTGCAGGCCATACTTTATATTTGACCTGATATTTTTATATTTTCTTCTATTTCAAGCCTGCTGTTGAGGTTGTGTGTACATGAATATACAATATGACATACCTTATTGTTATTGACAATTTTACAAGCCTATAGGCTATGGATGATTGATTTTCCATGTTTATCAGAGAATAAGTACTGCCTTGTTTTATCTATAGTATACAGTTGCTTATCTGTAGTTGTCAGGATTGTGATGCTATAATTGTCAAAATTTCTGAAGGGTTTCATCCTTGATAAAAATTTACTGTATCTATGTATCTAAGTATGTGGATAACTTTTGAATGACTTTGCATTATGGGGGAAGGGGTGGTCGAAGGTTGTCATAGGCTCCCCTCTCTATTAAACTCCCGTTATCAAATCAAGGACCCTTCCTTACAGGAAACGCATGCTGAATTATTAATGTTGGAGCGTGAATGTAATGTAGTGTACACGAGCTGTGAAAATCTGTATTTTTGTTCACTCTGCAAACTGTTGGAAAATGTTGTTTAACAGGCGTAAAACTGAACAATAGGACCAGTTGTTCAAAGGTGGTTAGTACTAACCCTCTGTTTTAGTTTATGTTATATTTCTGCACGTCTGTTTATTTCAAAACTTCAGAGAAGTAAATTCCTATATGGGTCAAGACAGGATTTCTGAAGAAAAAGAAATATTTTCAAATTTATAAACAAGTTGTTGGAAAGTTTACTTTGAAGTTTGGGTAAACCTAGGGTTGAGCGAACAACTGGCTCCAGGGCGTTTATGAGATTACTTACGTAAGTCTTATCTGCGGTATTTATTTGATAATTTTAATTAAATTGTACAGGGTGTATTAAAAAAATGTACACCCTTTCAAATTCAAATTAGCCATAACTTTTAAATATTCGTTGCTCTGCAGTAAGCAAGGGTGGGTATAGTAGCGAAGTAGTTGTAGTTCGCTACTGTAGCGAACTACAATTTTCAAGTAGCCAGTAGTTTTTGACTACTTTTTCAAAACAGTAACTGTAGCTATAGCGAACTACATTTTGCCTAAAAGTAGCCAAGTAATTGACTACTTTTCAAACAGCAAATCGCTATTCGCTACTTTTGAAAATTGTTAGCAACTTGATAGAACAGCGGAACGTTATTAAGACACGGTTTGCTTAAAATCAATACTTAATTTGCACGAATAAAATATGCCGTGCAACTGTGCAAGTGTATGCCAGCTTATTTACTCGAAGTCGATTTGTTATAGGTTACATTACAGCCTGAGCTATAGTAGATGTTCCAAATACAGTAAAATTAAAAAATATTGAGTAGCGAAATAGCGAAATAGTTCGCTACATATAATTTTTTTAAGCAGTAGCTGTAGTCAGTAGCGAACTACTTTTGTTCAAAAGTAGCAGTAGTTGTAGCTGACTACATATTTTTGAAGTATAGCTGTAGTTATAGCGAACTACAAAAAGTTTGTAGTCAACCCACCATTGGCAGTAAGCTGGCCCATTTTAAATCTTATGCAGACATGAATAATGCTTAATTTAAACATTTTTCTTTGAGTAGTGTATATGTTCATACAAATAGAAGTTATCCTAAATTTTTCACGCTCATTAATTCGAGAATTTATACGGCTGTCAAATTACTACAATAGATTACGGTTAATTTGAATTTGAAAGGGTGTACATTCTTTTGATACACCCTGTATTTACCACATGCAGCTTGTCCTGTGTTGACACTGTGTAGATGTCTTTGTAGGACTGAATAGAATGTAATTTGGCGAAATTATTATTGTATAAGTACCTCCCACAATTACACTAGGAGGCTCTTTGGATAAAAACAGTTGAAAATTAGGTGACTGCGTGGAGAGCCGCGGGATTTGTAAACAAAGGAGTAAGATAATTAAAGCACAGCATTTTTCTCGTCTCCAGATATTGTTATGCAAAGTGTTTTAAGGCCAGCTGCAAAGGGCCTATTGCATTTCACCATTTGTACAGGGTGTCCCAAAAAACCCGAAAACCATTGAAATCACTTATTGTTAAAATTGAATGCCCTACCAAAAAGCTGAACGTAATGATGCGTAAAATATTGACAAGGTGCATGTATTAAAATTTAGCTAAGAACATCTCCTTGTAAAGTGTGCGATTTTTTGCTCTTGGGAATTTAAAGCAGCTTCTTAATTAAGCCGGTTTTCCACTTGCGAATTTTTTCGCGCGAAGCAAATTTTTCTTTTGTCTTATCCAATTAGTTCCGGATGGTTCCAGTTGAGAGACCAAAGACAAATGAAAAATTCCCAAACTCCCCTTTAAAATACGGATGCAGGTGTCAGGCCTTTGGAAAGAATCAGTGAGAATTGAGACTCAAAACCCTGAGTAAAATAGTGCACCCGCAACCAAATTTATGAGCAAATTTACTCAAATTTATGAGTAAAGTTTAAGATTTAATTGTTTAATGCGTTCAGTTGAATATTAATCAGTAAGATATATATTTAGATTTCTTAGATAGGCTGAGTAAATATGGATTCTGACGACTGTTTTTGAACGAATATTTCTAATAAACAATGTTTTATTATCTATTTGGGAAAATATATTAATTAAATTTTACTGCATCGTTTCACCAAAACTTTGAAAATAACAAGAAAATATTGTTCTTTGTATAATTGCATGGCGATTAAATATATAATAGTTTTGTTTGTGGAAACACCACGTAAAGTAATGTAGTAATAAATAAAGTAATAAGTTAGAGAAATTATTAAATTGCAGTAATAAATTTACGTGGTGTTTCCACAAACAAAACTATTATAGGAAAATATTGGTTTAAAAATATCTATTTTGTTTTTTATCGACCTTTTCAAGGTGGCTGAGCTTCGTTTTTGGCGTTCATTATGCAAAATATTTAATGAAACGACCCGGCAGTACCAGACTGACCTTCAAGTATCTTGAGTATTACACTTGTTTCAAGTCTCGCTGGAAAAAGGGTCTATGAACTGATCTCATAATATACATCCAATTAAAAATGAAACTGGCCTCATAACAGTTTGGACAAAACTGAAGCTATTTCGAGAGAGACTTACCCCCGCCTTCTAACAAGCCCCCAGTTAAAAACCACTGGGGAAATATAAGCTCCAAGGTGGCTATATAGAGGAAATACGGTATATAGGATTCTTTGCTATGCATGGGCAAAAAGTATATATTCTATATTTATTTGTCTATTTTAGAAAATCGTCGCAAAAGCTGAAGAGGTACAGGAAACGTATGAATACGACGCCAATATTGAGGTTTGCAGGATTGATTGCTTATTCTTATTCCTGGTCATAATGATAAACCATATTGCATGAATGTAATTATATTGTGTGGTAAACTACTTTCCTGCATAGACAAACCCACAGTCGTGTATATGTACAAAAGGTGTAATTTCCACAGTAGAGAAAAAACGTCAGTGATTTCCACAGTAGAGAAAAAACGCCAAAACACAAGCATTTGATTGGCTTCGCTATTTTGTCATCCAAAACACAAGCATTTGATTGGCTTCGCTATTTTGTCATCCGCACCCCCTTTCCAGGATATCTAATCGTCTACCTCTTATTAGGGCGATTAAAATTCAAGGCGTTAATGTTATGTAATCAGTTTATGTTATAGATCAGTACTGATCCTTTAACAACCAGATAAGCATAACGATTGATAAAAACTTCTTCCTAGCTGAAAAGGAACCCAACCCAATTTATTGAATAATGATACTGAGAGCTAGTTCTCAACACTGAGCCCCTAGAACAATCCTGGTAGCCCTCCACCGGATCTGAAAATCCTTTGTTTATATTTCCTTGTGCATGATTACCAAACAGGGCTTCCATGAAGCATCAATGATTTAATGACTGTATTGTAGTAGATCTCACCATCCGGCCAATCTTGTTTAGATTCATTCAAAATGCTTTATAGAGATTTTACAGATGCTGTTATGTTGTTTTTAGCCATTCAATTACCTTGACACGAAAGACCTGGACAGCTTGGCATCGCACGATCTTAGATATAACACAGTTTTTCTAATGAATGTCACATATGAACTGAGTGGAATTCACGTTCCTACAGATATTTATGATAAAGGTTGTTTTGTTTTTCTAGTTGTAGATTAAGATTATTGTTTAAATTACTCTGGGTGCAGAGGTCTTCAGCGAAACTGGAAACACCTTGATCCAGGGAACTGTTTAATATACAAGACTTTTTCCTTTCTCGAGTTTCAGTTCAGCAAAAGCAATGTCGACAAAGGAAAAAGTTGCTTCGCGCGAACAAATTCGCCTAGTGGAAAACGGGCTTTAGAATAATATAGTGGCAACTGAAACCCCAACGTAGCAAAACAACACACACAACAGAAACAATTACCGTATTTGCTTCAATTAGCCTTCTTGGGCTTAATTTTTTCCATTGGTTCGATCCGAACTGGGGACTTATTAGAAAGGAAATAGAGGATGGGAGTAAATAAGTTCTCACGCTCTGGTAAAAGAATATTAAGTTACAGAACCATCATTAGAGGAACTTCAAGGTTGAGAAATTTTCATACAATTTACCATTATTTAGCCATATCAGTGAACGTTGAAGAACATTTGTGTTCATATTTTGCCACAAGATGGTCTTATTTTATTTCAGCGCTTCTAGATTGGAGACTAATTAGAAGTGGTGGGGCTAAAATGAGGTTGGGGGCTAAATAGAGAAAATACGGTAATGGAGTCTTCCAGAACATATTTTACATCATTAGCCGCAATGTGTAGCGTTGCATGCATAAACTGAATATTCATTTAACAGTACAATTACGTTATATGGGCGTATGGGCAATGGATTCTAACGGAGTAACCTAACTCACTAAACAATGCTTATGATTTTCGCTGCCAGACTTTATAGTTGAATCAAATAGACAATGGTTGAAAGGTGAAGGTCATTCAAATTATTACTGGTCCTGTGTGATATTTCAATTCAATTATCCGAGTAAGAAAAAAGGCGCTGCTTAGGTATACATGTAACACTGACTGACTTCTGCCTAAAGGCGATGCCTACGGAGGAGGCTATGCTTATAGGTGAATTTTAGACTGTGTATTTTATTCATGTTTAGCTCCTGAAATATTGAATACAATTAAATGGACTGAAGCATTAGATAAGGTCTTCATAAACAACACCAATGACGATCCAAATTTAAAGTGGCAATATTTCGGCAGTCAAACTGGAGTGTTTCGATCATACCCAGGTAATATATACTAATAGGTCTACGTTAATGAATGTTGCAAGTTTAAATTAAGCGTAGGTTTTATGTGTCGTGATTATACTGTGTATTCCATTGAAACGTCGTTTTATAATCAACAAGATGTGCTAAATCAGTACTACAACCTTGCTCTCTTTAAAGCAAATTGGTTTAAAAAAGCAAGAAATTGGTTACAACCAATTTTAACCAAATTAAGTTGTTTTTTACAGTGTGGCAAAACGTTTTAAATCCTGTGTAATTTTCGAGCTAGAAGTATTTGCCATTGCTTCCTCTCTTATGTCATTGGTTTCTTTGCCGTCCCCCCCGGACCGTATTTGATGGTCACTGATGGTCACTTACACATGCAGTCACATATAGCTACACCCAAACAATATTATCTCGGGCATGAGAGGAGGCGAGGTTATGTAAATTTGCCCAGTTCAGTAAAATGGCATTTAATACCTGTACAGACGGGCAATTTTTTACTCTATTTTCTCGTGTGTAGGGCAAAAATTGACAATTTTTCCTTGCCAAGGAGCCATGTTCTAAGGCTAGTCATGCCAGTTTTTGGTCAAGTAAATTTTGCTCGTGTAGAAATACAAGAAATACTCCTATGATTTTGGTAAACAAACGGCTGCCTTGCCGTGAGATAAACGTTTAACAGCATTCCGTTTCCATCAGCAACAAAACTTGTCATGGAAAACTTGTCATGGAAAACTTGTCATGGAAAACTTGTTGACCGTGCACACGAGAAAGTAAACTTGTCAAGGAAAACTTCTGTACGGGGGCTTTAATCGCTTAGCGGTCTCAAGGATTTTGTCGAAGGTTGTAGATACCTACATGCATATAGAACATGTAAATATGCCTTTTCCCGTTTGGTTTGGTTTTAGGCGCTAAATTTGATGTCGGACCAAAAGGCATTGATCTTTATGATGTTCGAAAACGTCCATGGTAGGTTTCACAGCTGCTATACTGTTTTCATTCCATGTCGTAGTTTCTGATGTTGTCGCGAGGACTGATAAACTTCCAAAACATTATAACATGCACATGCATCTGCATACGTTTTTTTTTACGATTTCCCTCCTAAATGTATTTTTATATAGGTACATCCATGGTTCAACCTCACCAAAATCTGTTGTCATTATTGTGGATAGGCAAGTATCACGAGATATGTGTGGCATTATGATACTCTAGAAAAAACCAGTTTTCATTCCACATTTTGTTATAAGAAATCCCCCTTTAATGGCCCACCCCTCCCCCTCCCATCTCATAATTAATCCTAATTGCTGCTTATATAGTTTCTCTCTCTCTTTCTCTAACCAAAAAAAATATATACTCTTGCAGTAGTGGCAGCATGTTTGGACGACCGTTGTTAATAGCAAGAATTGCTGTAGCTGAACTCATTGATACTCTCTCAGAAAATGACTTCTTTAATCTAATTTGGGTAGGTACAACTACAATCCTCTTGCCCGAAGGCGTTGAGGGTGGTAATCTCCAATGAGATAGTTAAGTACTCTCGCAGTATAAAAAGTCTGTGTATGCATGAGACCACAGACTTGCGAATTCGGCGCATGGTAGGGGTATGGGGGAAAACCAAATGGTGGGCATTCAGTGGAAAAGTTACAACCAAATACCTTGCCAGTTACAGATGAGTAAGAATGTGCTTTGCTTGTGCTTTAAATAAATGCGTGCTTTGTAATACAATGGAACCCCGTCTTACGGCCACCTCGTTAACACGGCCCCATCTTTATTACGGTCGCTAATTTTTTTGTCCCCAAAAAATGCCAAGACAATACATTTCCTTATAAAGATATCCCGTTATTACGGCCACCCTATTAATATGATCAACTTTTTTGGCGCGTTCTCCGCAATATTAACGGATTTCCACTGTAATATATAGAAGGAACTGGGGCTTCGGTGGCGCAATCGTCGAAGCAAGCGCAGTGAGCTCCACATATATCTGCAGTAGGAACTTGGTTGCTCAAAGTGAAACCAGTTTCGTGTTAACCGCGCATACAAAAACAATAGAAAGGGACTGGAACTGACGTCCAACAGCTCCTTCAATTTCCGCCATCTTGGCAAGGAGTGTTGAAATTTCGTATTTTGACTTCGATTTAAAGAATAATATTGTGATTTTATGAACTGAAAACTTGATTAGTGATACGGTTCATTAGAAAAAACTGGAATTAGCTGGGGAAAATGGTACAAAAACTGTTTACGACCTTCAGAGCTATTGGACGTCAATGGCCGCCATCTTGGCTTCACTTGGCTTCACTTTTCTCATTGACCAAATGACTGAAGTTCTTACTCCAGATATATATAGAGAGCTCACTGAGCAAGCGCCTTTCACCTCTGAGATCGTGCGTTAGATTCTTGCTCCGGACTCAAGACATTCATGTAAAAAGAGTCAGTCAACACTCTTCCGAAAGTCGTGGGTTTTCTCCGGGTCTCTGGTTTCTTTCCACAGGGAATGTTGACATGACAGGGTGGGTTGGGGTTAGCCCATACCGTATTTACTCGTTTGAGCGCCGCCCTCGATTGAGCGCCGCCCCCGAATGAGCGCCGCATTTGAGATCAAGTTTTTTTAAAGAGCGCCGCCCCCGAATGAGCGCCGCACTAAAAAGTGTAAAAACCCTCCGCCCGTCAAAATGGGAACATTTAGTGACAAAGACATTTACAACTTGTTTATTTTGTTGTTAAAAGTTCTTCTTATAATTCACAAAAAAAAGATGTTTTAAAGAGCGCCGCCCCCGATTGAGCGCCGCCCCCGAATGAGCGGCGCATCTGAAGCTCTTAAAATTTAAAGAGCGCCGCGGCGCTTAAACGAGTAAATACGGTAATCTAATTTACCCTTCCAACTTGGCTGTGCTCCGTGATCAGACATAGGTCATAAGGTTGCTGCTCGAGGCGACCTTAGATAGTCTTCGACCCAGCTGAATCAGGTTGAGCTGCGTCCTTCGCAATTCAACATAGTTCTCTGCTGCAAAGAAGCATGATTAGCAGTTCTAAGGATGAGTTGGAAGTTCTCCTTGTATTTGTCAGGTATCCCTATCAATCTAACTATCTATATTTATTTATAATAAACCATGCATTGACGTTTTATCTCTTCATTCTATATCCTTTTACTCTTTCAGTTTAACATTGATGTTCATTACTTGGCATGTGAAAAAAAATTTGTACAAGCAACTTCACAAAATAGAGAAGTATGTTACATTTGATACCTTTCCTGTTTATATTTCTCCTTGTTTAAGATGTATGATGTTTGTGTTAATGTACGCTTTGTTCATCCGTTTTTGAAAACTATATCTTCAGCTGTTAACTTATCTTTTAGTATTACAAGAGCAAGTTGAGAGACATTCAGGCTAGTTATGTTGCTTCGTGGCCCAAAGCTTACGAGGCCGCTTTTCAACTTTTGGACCACAGTCAGGTATTGTGTTACTATACTGACTACGTGAATTCCTCTCCTTCCTGTAAACTCTTGATGAGAACCCATAAAATGCATAAATTGAATAAAATCGTTTTAATTGCGTTGTATATACAAGACTACAGACGGCAAAGATTGAATTTGGACAGACAGTTTTACCCGGCCTACCGACCATTCTTTTTGGGGAAAAAATCCATCAAGTAATAAAAAAGGTCTGGCCTGAAGAAGCTTTTTCAAGAAAAAGCTTGACTGTACACATGATTAGATGCCATGCAGCTGGTACCTACGCAGGCTAAGGAAAACGTACTCGTCTATACAGGGATTTTGTGAGCAGATTGTTTCTCTTGTTGCTGCTCTCTCTAACTTCAGATCTAATTCTAACTTCAGATCTCATTCTAACTTCAGATCTAATTCTAACTTCAGATCTCTCTCTAACTTCAGATCTAATTCTAACTTCAGATCTCATTCTAACTTCAGATCTCATTCTAACTTCAGATCTAATTCTAACTTCAGATCTCTCTCTAACTTCAGATCTAATTCTAACTTCAGATCTCATTCTAACTTCAGATCTAATTCTAACTTCAGATCTCATTCTAACTTCAGATCTAATTCTAACTTCAGATCTCTCTCTAACTTCAGATCTAATTCTAACTTCAGATCTCATTCTAGCGCGGACCAAGTCCAATTAGTTTGAACAAGCCTGATTCATACTAGCAATTTTGTCAGCGATTTTGTGTTTCTGACGGATGCAAATTAGTGAACTCGCACACAAAAGTATAGAGTCGCATTTCCGAAGTCTTTTGCATGTTCATTCGATCGCCGACAGAATTGCCAGTGTGAACCAGGCTTTATGTCTCCGTTGTGTGAAATCATGCGTCTATATTATTCTCACTTTTTTCCAAGGATGATGGTGCCGGTTGTCAAAAAGTAATAACGGTTTTCACCGATGGACCAACTGAGCGAGCTGAGGGGGTTTTTGAAACCTACAATAGCGCCAAAGAGGTTCGGAGTTTTGTGTTTTTATTTTGAAAAGTTATATATTTCAACTACAAATATCAATAATTAGTTACTTAAAATGTTCGTATGTGAGTGAACAATAGCTTCTACTTCCAAATTTTCATTAGTTTCTGTAACTCGTTGACTGTAGGCTTGCAAGTAGAAAAATTATGTTTTAGTTTCTGCAAATCCTTTAGTAACCCTTCCCTGTGGGCTTAATTATTTCAGGTACGTCAGGGCTCATTATTAAATCTAAATGTCTCTATTTAGTGCCTGCGAGCAAAAATCATACAAAATGCGCCTGCAAAGATGCCTCGTGTTTTCAGGTTTTGGTAAGAAAGGTCTCGCATGCACGCTCACGCGTTTTAATGATGCCTGGGACACGTAATGATAGACAGGGGGTATGGGTAATTGATTTTCACGAAATACAGTAAGCAAACGCACAGTTCAATCCTTGTAGTAATCACATCCTTGTGGTAGTCACTTATATTCATTAATCATGTTTAAAACCGGTAGCCCTTTGAAGAGTGGTTTGGGTATATCTCCAATAAATGTAACTATTTACATTTTGTTACAATTTGCAAAATTAATTCACGATGAAAGCTAATATTGAATATGTATTAAGTGTACGTTACTGTTACATCGAAATTGCCATAATGCTTCTCTCCAAGTTACGTTAATAATATCAATTAGAGTTTTGAAGGAAGGGAAGGAGCATTGATGAGTCCATAACGTATGGACAATTTCAATAGAAAGACTATTCCTGCATACAGCTCTCCGCATTAGTAAAATCCTTTGGCAAAAAACAAAATTCAATCTAAGTCAGTCCAATTACAATTAATCAATTAATGTCATTTACAGTTCAAGTGAACTTTAGTGTAGGAGGAGTGTGGATAATTAGAATTGAAAACACTTCAAACACTCTGTCGCGAAATCACTCTCAGTTAAACTTCCTTTGAAAGCACATGCACGAATTGACCAGACAACATGGCCGGCGATCCAAGGATTTATTTGGTCAATACTCAATTCTTACTGGAAAGTGTCGATTAACCGAGCGTTAGTTGTGGAGTAATTAATTTCTTCCTTTCAACAAGAAGGGGATTATTAGAGAGGAGCGAGGTCAATAGAGAGAGAGTTACACGCGTAAAAACGCTCAGGTTGTTGCAATATTGATGAAAACAGGATTGAACAATGTTTTGCTGCCCACATTGTTCACAGTTGTTAACAATGTTGAACAATTTTGTTACACCCGATACAGTCTTAACATTGTTGACAAGTGTGAACAACGTGGGCAGCAAAACATTGTTCAGTCCTGTTAAACAGTACAGTAGGCTCAGCGTTTTTAGCCGTGTAGGCTAGGCACGACGTCAATGAATACCGTCCATAATCTACAAGTATCTACGTCATGTCAGCCATTTATCTGCTAGCATGTGTCCGCAGATGACTAATTTTCTTACCCTTTTTCGTGCAGATAATCAGAAAATTATTGGCTTCATAAGAATTCTGGGATTAACATGCATAATGCCAATTACATGGTTTGCTGATGTATTTCTAATTTTCGCTCTCCTATACCTATTCGATTTCAGGTTCATGTGTTTACATATGCGGTTGGTCCACCAGCACACAGTATTGAAGCCTTGAGATCAATTGCCTGTGACAACCGAGGTAAGCCTATTACAAAGCATACAAGTGGAAATAGTAAGTACTGAATTCTCCTATATTTTGGTTATTAATGCGTCATAGGATTAAACGTTTGATTATATTTGTCTTTCCAGGTTTTTTCTACCGTATACCTGGCGTGGGATCAGTAAGAGATGTTATCAAGGTCCGTCTCATCATCATCCCGTTTGTCCCCTCAATGGGCAGTCGGGTCCCCTCGACACCTTCCACTCTAGTCTGTCGTCAACTTTATCCAGATCCACAACTCTACCTTCACCGCTTCCTCGGTTGTCCTCTCTTCCACGTTCCTGATTCTCTACGCTCCGTAGCCCATCTGATAAACTAATTTTCCCCTATTCTCTTCACGTAGCCATGCCATTCATCTTTGTCTACTTGTCCATCACCTTCAATGGACCATTTGCATTATAGACTACATTTTGATCTAGACAAAAATTTCATCACAATTTGAAAGAGCATCACAAAATTAGTAATATTCCAAAGTTTCGTTGCGAAATGTTGTAAAATGCGGATAATATAGCCATGCGAAGTTTGTAATTTTCAGTCATTTTGTATTACACCCAATCGGGTGTTGGGGCATCAATTTCCCGTTTGTAATACAAAATGACTGAAAATTGCAAATTTCGCAAGGCTATATTATCCGCACTTTACAACATTTCGCATCGAAACTTTGGAATATTACTAATTTTGTGATGCTCTTTCAAGCTGTGATGAAATTTTTGTCTAGATCAAAATTTAGTCTATAATGCAAATGGTCCATTCCAATTCCTTTCTTATAAAGGACAGTCTCCTCCACAAAAAATGAAAGTGAATGTTCACATTAATTCGACTAATCACAAAATAGATATCCTTAGGCATCGTGAAGTTTCGGATGGAACAAACGCTAATCTTTTCTTAATCGTCCACGATTTTATTGTGAAGACTAAATGCTTTGATCATATCTTTTCAATCTTACCCTGTGCATGGAATATCTGTGCACTGATTTTGTACGAAATAGAAATTAATTCTTAATTCCGCATGAGTATAGTGTCCTCATGATATAATTATTGTTTTTTATTCATGTTGCTGCTAGTTTGTCATTGTTTTCCTTCCTATTTCTTACAATAAATATATTTTAAATGAAAAGTTTGCTAAAAGTACTTGAATTCTAAAATTATTTGTTTACCATTAAGGGCTATGTGTCTGTCTTGAGTCGACCAATGGCAGAAAGGAATGAGCATGATCCTATATGGAGTAGTGTATACGTCGATTCAGGAGTAAGTTGTAGTGTTTTGAAAATTCTTCTGTTCCCTTCGTCAGTCCAACTACAGGTATTGGCCAGGCGTTTGCTTTATTTTGGCTGACTATAGTTCAATCGGCCTAAGCCAAATTTAGGCCAGACCAAGGCCTGCAGTATAAATGACGTGCTTCAGAGTCCTATATACAGTATGTGTTCCATTGCTTCCCTTTGCCATAGTGACAGTCACGTGAAGCCTAATTTAGTCTCTGCTACAGTAACAAGCATGCACGACGGTTTTGTTGAAATCACCCGCGTTGAACTCACAGTTGATCCTGAAGAATACAACCACTCTGGGAAACTGAAACCAGCCAGTTGACCAAACTATTCTGCTTCTGTAAAAATGCAGACTACTTTTTCTGTCCGATTTTAGGGAGTTTATAACTTTATTTAACTATTTGTTAACTGTGTTGAATGCACAAAATGAACTATTTTTGTGTTTTGTAGCGTCTAGGGATGATGATAACTGGAACACTGCCAGCATTTGTACGAACAAACAAAACTGTGAGTATATCGTAGAGAAGAGCTATTATCATCATTATTATATTTTCTCCTAAATGAAGATATAAGTGGGGTACATGTTATTATGTGAACACACATTAGACAGGTTATGCGGTAGCAGAAGTCATATCTGAACCTCACACTGGCGGAGTACTCATCTGATTGGTTAATCGGGTAGATTAGACGGTTAACGGTATAGCCGTTGTGGAAGTCAAATCTGTGCTGCTCTATTGATTTCAAAAGAGCAAGAGCAAGACGAGTACCTTACTTTAATTTAATTTAATTTAATTTAATTTAATTTAATTTAATTTAATTTAATTTAATTTAATTTAATTTAATTTAATTTAATTTAATTTAATTTAATTTAAGGAATAAACCTTGTAGATGACAATTTAGAGTATTTTTTAGCTTTGTTCACAGAATTTAGCATGAAAAGTTCACCCAACAGATGTTGTTTTGTGTGTAGGGTGGCCCTGAGATACTTGGTGTGGTTGGAACAGATGTGACCTTGAAAGATATCGATCTTTTGTTTGACCTTACGTCGGTATGTGTATTAAGATAGAGAACTTTATAAACCACCCACCAGATCACCTTATTAAAACGATATTTTGTCAGCTTTTAAACTTATGAGAAACTCACTTAAACATTTTATCCTCATTGTTCATGACACTGTAAATGCTTTTGTAATAAAAATGTTTGACTTTCACTGTCAATTCCCCGAAGATCTCTTCTAACACAACCTGATACTCCAGCACATTGTATAACTTTTTATTATCCGAGGAAACTCCATTGACAACTATAAATTCGCCAGGAAGTTGACGGAGTGAAGAAATGGCAATCTAAAGACGTCTAAAGTTTTCACCTGATTTTGAAGCGTACATGTTAATTTATGTATTTAAATTGAACATTTAGATTGGTGATGACGGATACCTCTTTCTTATCAGCAACAACGGTCATGTTATCAAACATCCTGGATTTGAAGCGCATGTAGGTAGTCCACAAGAGAGAAACCTTCATGTCATTATAACTGCAGAACTATAATAAAACTTAGGTAAATTCGGCTATTTAAGTTCCGTGATTTGGGGAGAGTAAGTGATATTCGTCTGATATGTACTCATAATTTACAGGACTCGTAATTTTCTGGATCTTCAACGGCTTCAACAATTTATCAACACAAGCAAATTAATTAGTATTATTGATGGTTTTTTGCTTGTAAATTTAAGAGAGTAAAATATTGTGTTATGCACATCATTTGAACCTTTGTAATTTTATGCAAATGCATTCAAACGGTTTTTTTTCCAATTTTCCCGTAGCTTGGTTATCTGCCAGATCCTCCTGATGTGTATATATCAGATATTGAGTACAGTTGGGATGTGAACAGTACTAAACCAGTGAAGGTAATTATTTGGTAAATAGTGTTCAGTCGTATCATGTCTATATACTGTATAGACGGTTTGTAATTGAGATCAAATGACGAATTAGAAGTCTTCACCATGTGGGATGTAATTTAAATTGCAAACAAGTTTTGCCTTTTGCCAAGGGGCAGAGGGTTAGTGGAAAAGTGAGTTTCAGATTGCAAGTCACGGGGGCAGATAGGAGTGAGGCATGGGATAAGTGACTAGTTGTTTAATGACAGGGAGGAAGTTTGGGTGGCATTTGAATATATAATATCAACATATTTATGAACAATTACTTTCAGAAAACCATCAAGAATGTTACACAACATTTCGTGATAGGTTCTGTTGTTTGGTAAAATCAAACTCGAAACAATCTTCTCGCATGATGCGACTGGAGCGCATACTGTGCAGAAATCGGTTCCGTGTCTCAGGGAGGGTGAAAGCCATATGCCCCACATTAGCTATGAACCAACATCCCTAACTAACCGTGTGTCTGATCAATACTTACGACTGTATTCTAAAAGCTCACTCGCACTCAAAGAGTGGAGGTTCAATCTGAGCTTCCCTTGTGTGTCAGTGCTGTTTTTGAATAGCTGAAGGGTGAGTAGTCACATAGTAAGGTACGGGACTAACCCTCCAGCTATTCAAAAACAGCACTGATACTCAAGGGAAGCTTAGATTGAACCTCCACTCTTTGAGTGTGAGTGAACTTTTAGAATACAGGCGTTAGCAAATCGTATCTGGTTAAAGGTCGATACTCAATAGAATTAGTTCGAAAAAGGTAAAAAAGTTGAGTATATATTTTTGTTGTATAGTTACGTGAAAGGATGCTTAAAACGAAACAGAACGAAGTTGGAACCATGACGTTTGATGTTGCGTTGTTTTCGAGAGATGAGGTGAGCGTGATACATTTTGTGCTGGAGCTATCAAGCCAACACATTGGCCAACAGAGAGTGAGTTCGTGTTGGCCAGTATAGAGTGGAGAAGAGGAATACGTCATTTTAAATACTAAATGTTTTCACAGTTTAACTTACGAGTGAAGAAGAGGAATATGAATTATTATTTTACAACTGTGGACGACACTCCCATCTGGTGAGATTTCTCCCAACATTATTATTCAGTTGTGTTGTCCTTTTTATTGTGTAAATTTCTGCGCGTAGTTAAAGGGAATTCGAGGCCCATAATGGTGTCAGTCCGCCCTGGGAACCAGTACTTCCCGAGAACTAAATTTGGATGAAAGTTGGGCATAATTGATACATAATTTATGCATATATTCATTCTCTGGCGGCAGTACGCTCTGAGTGTCCTTTAGTTGTAAACTGGAATTTGAAAAGTATTTGTAACAACCAATGTTTTGTTGTAGGGCTGGCATCGCATTCCCGTCCACTTATGTTGAAATAGTTCCAGGTATGTTATACGTATAATGTCGGTATTTTTCCTGCTGTATTTTATTTTCTAGCTCGCATGCTCGCTAACATTCGTTGAAGGCGATCAAAAATAAATATATTGTGAACCGATAAACAATAAAACCATAGGTTTCCCGAAAAGGTATTTTATTTTTAAAAAATCCATCAACTTGCAACTAAATACTCTCGCTTGTTTTAATCTACACTAAAACATCTATAATTCGTATTACGTGAAGTACATGTTGCACAGTGCATGCACATAGTGTTGCATCATTATGTATATTATTTCCCCAAAGTTGGCAAGAAAATACCGAATTTATCACTGTACACAAAAACTAAATGACGAAAAACTCGTTCATAAACATCGAAGTTATTTGAAAAAACTAACTCGTTATGATCAGACATAACTTTAACACTCCTACATTGTAGTTTTTGTTTTTTCACCACATTAAAACGAGTGAATTTTGCGAAAATTGCGAAAATTTCTTACTTAATTTATTAAATTCATCAAATTTCTTACTCAATTTATTAAATTTTGTCAAAACTAAGGGGAATGATGGTTGCCGGCTCTCTGATTGGCCAATATTTCACCTAGCTTTCAGTCAGCCAATCAAAGAGCTTTAGGTTGTGACGTCGCGCCGGCAACCATCAACCGCATATATTTTTCTTGCCAATATTGGAGAAATAATATATATATGATGCAACGCTATACCTTTTCGGGAGACCTATGATAAAACGTTAGATGAGACCTTAACAGGCCATTTCCGAATTGTGCTATAGTTGTGAAGAACAACGCCACGTCGAGGCTTCGTGCTGAATTTGCTGTAGAAACATTACACATTTGAACAAAGCCTCGTTCACAGGCTATGGTCTGTGGTCATTCAACCGAAATTTGGAAATGGCCTATTGTACCGATTTGAAGCGGCCCAAAGTTTTGGAATTTAAGCAGTGGCGGACACTGGGAGGGAGGGGCAATAATTTCTTAAAGCCTGTGAATGATAGCTGTGGTGTAACAAAGTCCAACTATAATTTTTCAACTATGAAAGCGTTGGTAGGCTATAAATCAACCTATATATTGCAAGAAATTTCGAGGCCAAAAAGTTTAAAGAACCAAGATAGTAAAGCAGCAAAAGGTGGTAATATGTAGGCCACCTAAATCCCCCACGCCACCAATATTTCGTGAAGAGCCCGCCACTGATTTAAAGAATACAATATATATAGTTTAAAATCTATAACTTTAAGGGTAAAGTAGTTCGCGTGTTATTGCGACTCTCTGCAATGTTCTGACCACTGCGTTGTAGTAATAAGAGTGCAGTTGACACATGTTCCCTAATGTAATGTAATCAGTAATGTATACAAACAACAGAGTTTTGTAGGAAACACATCTACCTGGAAAATACAAACGTTATGCTGCCATCTCATCGTTACGGCAGATTTCACCATTTGTGAACCTTTATTTTCTTACTTGTTAGTGCGCGAGGTGAATAATGTATTTCTTAAACATTTGCTCTGAATTATTTTGTTAGGCGACCCATCATCGAGTGAAACTGTAGTTAATTTCTTACTTGATTACTGGAAAAGTAATACTTTCCCCTCTGAGTAAGTAGTAATAATTTGCAGAGAGTGTGATATATATTAAATATGCAAATATTAAGTAGCTTATATATAGCATTATATATAGAATTATTATTCCCACCGTGACCGGCATATTTTTCAAGCTCGCCCGGTGTGGATATACACTCAGAGTAATATCACAAACATCATATTCACTAATTCACCTGAGTACACAACACCAACACAGAAAAAAATATATAGCATTGTTATATAATTATGGACGTTACGGATTGAAGCAGTATTTAGAAATTTGGTTGTTGCATGATGTACTTGGTTATGTTACGTACTTGCCACACGGTGGAATACAAACAATACAATGTATGCCATCAGCCGGAGTGAACGTCTTGACCCTTGTACTTATCATTTTTTGTTGAATTCGTAGAGATGACGTGGAGACATTTGTTAAGATCTATAATGGTTCTTTTAATATTTCAAAGTAAGTAATTTGTTTTTTAGGAAACCGTTGGAAACGCGAATGGCCTTTGCTTGAAACTTCGATACTTATAGCTGCTCCCATCCGTTCATTTTCGTAATCGATTGTTTCTATTAATCGATGTTAATCGATTGTTGAGAACGATTAATCGATAACGCGAAAATGAACCGATTAATCGATTACGAAAATGAACGCTATGTATTAAATAAATCTCGACACGTCCACAGTGGCTGTTATGTCCTTTCACAGCCAATGGGAGCGCTGGTGATAGCAGAGAAATCAAAACAAGTCGCCATTTGATCACATCGATATTACCATCTCATCATTACCATTGGGAAAGGAAGTTATCTAGTTATATATGCATACACGGCTGTTTTGTTGAGTCGATTATTGTTAAGAATAATCGATTGCCAAGAAACACAAAAAATTCCAACCTACCAAGAAACCATCCAAAAAGATATAAAGTTATCTTTTCCTCATCATTAAATAAACTTTAAAAAAAAACGAAAAATGCCCTTCAGCCGTTTTAGTGCACACGTCAAATTTAATTTAAAGTGCGAGTAACCCCAAATATAATTTTTGGTATGTGTAATATTTGGGTTATTCTAAGAAGAAATGAAATGTATCTTTATGGTAAAAACCCTCATATTGATCAACTTTTTCATTGTCAAAGTTTCCGGGTATGATGTCATTAGGTGAATTATTGGTACAAAAAACAAATGACATGATAAGATGGGATATTTTATTATAAAGATACTGTATATTACATTTCTTCGAATGACCTAGATATTACACATACCAAAAATATTACACATATCATATTTGTGGTTAGTCGCACTTTAACGTTCGTGATGGTTCCGTATCATGACCTACTACTAAACAATAATGCGTGTTGGTAAAATACAGTGATTTTAAGTGGTACTCTACAAAATATTTTAGCTTTGAACATTTATCGCATATATATGCAACGAAAAATTATATATTCGTGTAAAAAACCTCACGTTTTTGGGTTGAAGGGAGAATGTTTATTTTGTATGTGATACCCGGCCATGCATGTAATATTCCATACAAAGATATGCGGCTTTTCTACGTCTTTCAGAAAAGACATACTCTCCGACAACTACTGCTGTATATAACATGAGATATTGCCCTTCTTCTTTATTTACTGAAAATCTCTCATTCTGGGTGTTTTAATATAGATCTGACTCGACATTTACACCAGAGAAAGGAATTGTAGGTCGTGTTGATGAATATCCAAACGATATAACTGTACTGACCGTGCCATATAATTCAGGTATTAATTAAAAGTGTTTTAGGACGACCTTCTGACTCTTTGCTGGGTCATTTCCCCTGTAATGAGCATCATCACACCTTTCCAGCAATGTTTCTTCGTTTGAGATGACTTAATGCAGTTGCATAAAATTTTATTGGGTATAAAATTTTGCACTCGGAGACTGCATATAACACCTCCAGCGAATTAAGTTATGTATCTTGCATAAATTATGCTACATACATTATGCTACATACATTGTGCAGAAAAACTCGACGTATTCGCTCAGATAGTAAACAACAACCGCGTCAACTGTTAACAAAAATAACTCTTTACCCATGCCTACAGATTCTGTTGTTTACTATAGGCAAAGAAAATGCCGAAGATGTTAAAATAACTGGCTACAGAAAGATGACGACTAATGCATCAGGGACGTTTGTTAATGTGGGAGGCAAGTTATTCTTATCAAACTCATTAATAATTAATGACCTTACGCTAAATCAGAAAATCACCTCACTCCGCGCTCAAGTGGCTGAGGGATTGCCTGGTATGACTACTGTTATACTTGGACTCGGATCCATGCAAGATCCATGCAAGTGGTCTTTTAAGCTCCATGAAAATCTAACACCTTCGCACCAAATATAGAGCAACTTGTGGAAAACATTTTTTGTCCAAAAATGTTTGTTACACGTAAAATGATGTAACACATTACGACCACGGTTTTAATACGTACTCCTTTTCGTCACGTAACTGCTATGCTTGGTTATTGCATTACCTACTATTGTTATGAAATTCTCATGTTGTGTACTTTGACTGAATTGTATTCAAGCCGAAACCCTTTTTACAGTTTACATGTGCAGGTCCAGTTAGAGAGGTGTCTGTACAACATACATCCACAATAATACTTCGCATGATTGAAATGATAAATTAATTACAAGAATAACTTTCATATCTGCTTGTAGTTGTTGGTTTCAACATGAACCATTCGCAATTTCAGCAAGTTTATTTTATCAACGATTCCATTCAGGTAATGTAAATATAGTATATGATTTATTACAAATCTATTGGACGAGCCTAGTAGTGATTAATCTTTCAAAAGTGCATTTTATATCCAAGTTCTGATCATATATATATATATATATATATATATATATATATATATATATATATATATATATATATATATATATATATATATATATATATATATATATATATATATATATATATATGTATTTTATATTTTGTTCTCGTCTTTGATTTATGTTTGTTATAGTTTGTTTTCATTAAGGTTGGTCTTCACATGGGGCTATTCATGTCCTGTTGACCATACCTTCAACCATATTATGTAGTGGTTTAATCTATTTTATGTATGGTTGTAAAGTTAATAAATAAATAAATAAATATATCTAATTTCACATCATACACATGATTAATGAATCTTAACTTCCTACATTCCAGGGAATTGATCAGTTCTGTAACGCAACAGTTGACGAGGTACAGTGAAATGTTGAGTTTGTAAAATGTTTCAAAACATTTAGTTTGATCCAATAATTGCGGGAACCACTGAGTATTTTCATAAAATGTATGTTTTTAGTTTGACCAACTTGACTTGTAAGTGAAACATTAGTTCTGGAAATTAATCTAAAAACTTTGTTGTAAAAAGCCTTAATTTTTTTTCTGGCTATTTTTTCCATTTAGTGCGTTTTTGCCTGCAATTGGGAAAGCAAGTGTATACAATTTGATACAATACAGCAAAACGCAATTAACGTACATGTTTCGCATGAGAATTGTAAAGAAGAATGCTATCATATTGTTTTAGGTGGATGGCTATTATTGTTATCTTCTCGACGAAAATGCATTTGTAGTTGCAGCAAATGTACACCCTGAGGTAAGGCTGTTTATGTTTTACTTGCCACTCTATCTCACATCGTTGAATATTGCTTCTAAATATGAACAGATACTGAAAATAATTTATTAATTAAGGCCCCTCTCGAATACCCTCCCCCCGTTCTAGGGAAAAATATTAAGCTCTCTTTCTCTAGTTAGTCTAGTACCCCCACGTCACCTTCATAATAAAGAAATGCATATACTGTATACTTGATAGATTTATTCGGTATTCCCCTGTCTCTGATAGTTTTATAATCTCTCTCTAATAAGCAGTATTTATCCGTCTAGCAAGTGCGTGCAGCACGTTGTTTAGCTCCCCTCTCTATGCCCCTCCCAGAGATACAATAACAATTGTTAAGATATAATAATCAAGCAATTATTATATATCTGATTATATAGAAAGTAACTGGACAGTTTTTTGGGAACGTCAATGGTGAAGTTATGGAACAACTGACCACAGGCGGAAACACAGTGATCTATGAAAGGTATTCTTAAGTTCACATTACATTATAGGGGAATTATTCTGGTGAACTGAATTGCGCATGCCTACATAGTCTGCATAATCAGCAACACCGCGGAAGAACGTCTGCGCATGCGTGTGCACAAAAAGATGGCGAGGAATTTAAATGCCAAATTGTAAACAAAAACATGGCTATTTAATTATTTGAGGTAATTGAAACAAACTAAAAAAATACACTAGACGGGTAGTTTAGACATTAATGAAAAGTTTTCTAAGATTTCAAATCTTAAATTAAAAATTACCGTTTAAGACCGGGAGGCGTGTGAACATTTCTTGAAAAATTGTCCAATACCGAACTTAAGGAGGCTCCCTACAGTTCCGTGCGGGATGTTCGCGGGACAAGTACGTGAACTATCCCACGCAACTGCATGATCAAAACAAAGCAATGGAAAAAAGCGTTGAATAATTTCTAATGGAAAAAAGCGTTGAATAATACTTCATTTGAGTGCCAAATCACTTGCGAGTCTATACAGCAATTCTACATATGATAAGAATATCACTAGACCAAAAATAGCTATAAAACAATATTTTTATTTTTTTTTTATACACTGTAAAACATTTGCATATACACTGTAAAACATTTGCAAAATTGCATACAAACGTTTAAAAAGTTGTTTACTTCTCAAGAAAACGTTCACGTTTTTAGTCGTGTTTCTACAAGATTAAAGTGATTATATGTAAACAGAAAAATATTTCAGTTTCATAGCCTAATTGTTCGTTTTTAGCAAAAAGTACAAAACCAAACATGAAACAAAAAACACGTCCACCTGGTAATAGGCTGTTACAGCTCATAGATTGAGTAAACGGCAGGATTCAATTAGCTTCAACTTGTTTTCATCGATTTAATCCTTCACAATAATCCTTGGCTGTCCATAGCACTCGAATAAATCGAAAAGTTGACAAAAACAAAACAGTAAAAAGTAAAAACAACATTGCGGCTCGATTTTGCTGAATGAATACTCGTTCTGCGCCCGCGTAGAATCTTTTACTAGTCAGCGACGCTTTTCAATAGGGGAATTTCTCGAGTTACACGAGGCTATTTTCTAACTTTATTTGCATTTTACTCATCAGTTTCATCGGTGACCTATCTTCAAATTTTGACCACGAATTTATTTTGCGGTAAATTTTATAAATTTCAAATTTTAAAAAATCTGTTGTGTGGAAATTTCGCAATAAATTTTTCGCTTTTAAAAAAATCACACACTACAGAATTTTTTTAAACTTTCACCACAGTTGCAGAGCATCATTCCTTATTGATATATGAAATAAAAAAGATATGTCACCGACATCGTTTTTGAGATATCGGCACATTTATGGGTTAAATTGGAAGGCTTTATGCTGTCGTCATGTTGCCATGGGAACATTGACATCGTCGAAATCTAGTTCTAAATATTCCTTAGATGACCAATATTGCCACCAAGTCGAAAAGAATTCGCGTTCTGCAAGAATAAGCCTGTTTTACGGAATTATTGCTTAAACAAGAATAACTGTAGGGAGCCACCTTAAAGCAGAAAAGTTAAGAAAACTATAGAATAGTTAAGCATTTGCACACGATTAAATTGTAGAGTAAATAATTACCCTTAAATATAGTCAACGCAAAAATTATACATGCTACGCAAAAAAAGTTATTGACAAAAATGTGGATCGTATGAGCCTACGAAAAATATCTTTGTATGGTTCAGTTAAAGAACGTTTTATACAATAAATTTATCGACAGTTACCTTTGGTTCATTTTCTTGCAAAATACTATTTCTTGCACATGTGGACTATAATTATTTCTAGTTTTTAGGTTGTCACATTCATTATTCCGCTTGCATTTTCATAGAAAAGGCAAAACATCGACGTCGCTTCCATTTTGAGTTTTTGACAACATTCGGAACACTTGACATCACGTTTGCAATACAGATTCCAGTAATGTTGACGCATGCTCAGACGTTCTGATCAGCAGGTTATAATTCTCATCGTAACAGAAGAAAGACTGACCTTCTCCCAGGCTAGACCAGACTGACCTTCTACACAAGTGTAAAAACAAAAACAGTTATAGACCGCGAAACAGTTTAATTTGCAATGGATGTACTGTAATAAATGTCACATCTGTAATAAATTATCATTCGCTGTTATTTCCATTAGAGTGGTCAGAACTGACCCTCAGGGCAGTTGTGTGGATCCATCTGCAGGCTCGGCTAGCTCAGCTCCATTCCTCCAACCATTTCTATCTGGTACATCATACATCAAATGGTGCTTTGCAAAGGCTGTATGGTAAGACCAATTACATATATTATTTCTTTTGGTGATGCTGCGGACATTTATGTTTTCCCTAATTATGTTTGTGATGTTACTCTGAGTGTGCATCCACACCGGGCAAGCTGAAAAGTTAGCTTGGCCACGGTGGGAAACGAACCCGCGACCTTTGGGATACTAGTCCAATGCTCTGCCAACCTAGCTATGTGATCAAGTCGGTTCGAGTTGATGATATAATCATATCAGAGAATACACTGATATCGAAGGAACTAGACTCAGTTCCGAAATATCATCAACTTGAACCGACTTAACCACGTAGCTCAGTTGGCAGAGCATTGGATTAGTATCCCAAAGGTCGCGGGTTCGATTCCCACCGTGGCCAAGCTAACTTTTCAAGTTGCCCGGTGTGGATGCACACTCAGAGTAACACCACAAACATAACAGCAACACACACAAATTAATATTTTCCCTAATTGTTCTGAAAATATTTTCAGTTCTCCCTTTTTCATATACATTGCGCTATCCTTTTGACATTTTGCTGAAAAATATACCCATGGAACTAATTTACTTTTTGTTCATTCTTTCCTATCCATAGGTTTGTTGCTAATTTGAACTTTTACAAGTACGTTTTTTTTAGTTTTTCGTTCTATATGTTTGTGTTTTACAGTACATTTCCCAATTCAACCATAGCTGTGGTCCGTGATCAGACATAAGTCATAATGTGTTTCACTAAGCACTGCCGTATAGCAGATGGTGGTCAGCCTCAATTATTTTCAGTGTGAGACTTCTTTTATTTATTGGTTTACGGATTTGAGTTTAAAAATAAGAGGTCGGTAGGTCGGAAAAAAAAAAATTTAAAAAAAACGAACTGAGTATAAATGAGAACCGAAATTAATAATCGCAAAAAACCGTGGCTAATCTACATATTGATTGTCACAACGATAACATGAGCCAGCAGTACCTAGAGTCAAAGTTCACTTGTAGTGTACTTCATGTCAGAACCCCAAATTAATTAAAATTAACTAAAATTGTAAAATTTTTGTCATCCAAATATTTTTTTTTATTTTTCATTTTCTGAATATTTACGGTCGGCGGATCCGTAAACCAATGAATAAAAAAAGTCTCGCCTAGAGGTCTTTTATTCGCTGGCTAATAGATATATTTCAGTGATGCAGTTTAATTCAAGTGGGGATGTGAGAGCTAAGCTGAATTACGAAGGACACAGCTCAACCTGATCGGCTTTCTAAGGGCTCCTCTGGTCGAGTATAAAGTTCTAGTTTATTACAGTGCCAGCAGCTTGACATGGTTGCTCTTATTAATTATTGTAACGTATTTATAATGCATTTTCCTACTTTTGCAGTTGGTTATATGGCAAGCCAGCCGCTGTATCAGGTAAATTCAGTTTCGTACATTTGTACTTCTGGAAAGGTCTTCATGTTGTTTTAGAAGCTAAAGTTTTCTACCGTAGTAATTCCAGAAAATTTCCAATTCTTTTGGACAGGTTTTCCAGGCTTTAAGGCCCATTTTCACTCAAAAAAAATTTCCCGAAAATATCATTGTTAAAAATTGAAAATTTTCAACTTCAACATTTTTTTCCAATGGAAAATTTGTGTCGACCAATCACATTTTGCAAAATTGCGGAAAATTTTCCTGAGTGGAAATGGTCCTTTAGGAAGCGTTTTCCAGTCTTTTGGAAAGGTTTTCTAGTTCTTTAGGGAAGGTTTTCAAAGTCTTTTGGAAAGGTTTCCAGTCTTCAGGAAAAGTTTTCCGGTCTTTTGGAAAGGTTTTCCAGTCTTTAGGAAAGGTTTTCCGGTCTTTAGGAAAGGTTTTCCAGTCTTTTGGAAAGGTTTTCCAGTCTTTTGGAAAGGTTTTCCAGTCTTTAGGAAAGGTTTTCCAGTCTTTAGGAAAGGTTTTCCAATCTTTAGGAAAGGTTTTCCAGTCTTTTGGAAAGGTTTTCCAGTCTTTAGGAAAGGTTTTCCAGTCTTTAGGAAAGGTTTTCCAATCTTTAGGAAAGGTTTTCCAGTCTTTTGGAAAGGTTTTCCAGTCATTAGAAAAGGTTTTCCCATCTTTAGGAAAGGTTTTCCAGTCTTTTGGAAAGGTTTACAATCTTTTGGAAAGGATTTGCAATCTATTGGAAAGGGTTTGCTGTCTTTTGGAAAGGTTTGCTGTCTTTGGAAAGGTTTTCCAATCTTTTGGAAAGGTTTTCTAGTCTTTAGGAAAGGGTTTGCTGTCTTTTGGAAAGGTTTTCCAATCTTTTGGAAAGGTTTTCCAATCTTTTGGAAAAGGTTTGCTGTCATTTGGAAAGGTTTTGCAGTTCTTTAAGAATGGTTTTCCAATATTTTGGAAAGGTTTTCCATTCTTTAGGAAAGGTTTTCCAATCTTTAGGAAAGGTTTTCCAGTCTTTTGGAAAGGTTTTCCAATCTTTAGGAAAGGTTTTCCAATCTTTTGGAAAGGTTTTCCAGTCTTTTGGAAAGGTTTTCCAGTCATTAGGAAAGGTTTTCCAGTCTTTTGGAAAGGTTTTCCAATCTTTAGGAAAGGTTTTCCAGTCTTTAGAAAAGGTTTTCCCATCTTTAGGAAAGGTTTTCCAGTCTTTTGGAAATTTGTACTTCTGGAAAGGTCTTCATGTTGTTTTAGAAGCTAAAGTTTTCTACCGTAGTAATTCCAGAAAATTTCCAATTCTTTTGGACAGGTTTTCCAGGCTTTAAGGCCCATTTCCACTCAAGAAAAATTTCCCGAAAATATCATTGTTAAAAATTGAAAATTTTCAACTTCAAAATTTTTTTCCAACGGAAAATTTGTGTCGACCAATCACATTTTGCAAAATTGCGGAAAATTTTCCTGAGTGGAAATGGTCCTTTAGGAAGCGTTTTCCAGTCTTTTGGAAAGGTTTTCTAGTTTTTTAGGGAAGGTTTTCAAAGTCTTTTGGAAAGGTTTCCAGTCTTCAGGAAAAGTTTTCCGGTCTTTTGGAAAGGTTTTCCAGTCTTTAGGAAAGGTTTTCCGGTCTTTAGGAAAGGTTTTCCAGTCTTTTGGAAAGGTTTTCCAGTCTTTTGGAAAGGTTTTCCAGTCTTTTGGAAAGGTTTTCCAGTCTTTGGGAAAGGTTTTCCAGTCTTTAGGAAAGGTTTTCCAGTCTTTAGGAAAGGTTTTCCAGTCTTTTGGAAAGGTTTTCCAGTCTTTAGGAAAGGTTTTCCAATCTTTAGGAAAGGTTTTCCAGTCTTTTGGAAAGGTTTTCCAATCTTTTGGAAAGGTTTTCTAGTCTTTAGGAAAGGGTTTGCTGTCTTTTGGAAAGGTTTTCCAATCTTTTGGAAAGGTTTTCCAATCTTTTTGAAAGGGTTTGCTGTCATTTGGAAAGGTTTTCCAGTTCTTTAAGAATGGTTTTCCAGTTCTTTAAGAAAGGTTTTCCAGTCATTAGGGAAGGTTTTCCAGTCTTTTGGAAAGGTTTTCCAATCTTTAGGAAAGGTTTTCCAGTCTTTAGAAAAGTTTTTCCCATCTTTAGGAAAGGTTTTCCAGTCTTTTGGAAAGGTTTTCCAATCTTTTGGAAAGGATTTGCAATCTATTGGAAAGGGTTTGCTGTCTTTGGAAAGGTTTGCTGTCTTTGGAAAGGTTTTCCAATCTTTTGGAAAGGTTTTCCAATCTTTTGGAAAGATTTTCTAGTCTTTAGGAAAGGGTTTGCTGTCTTTTGGAAAGGTTTTCCAATCTTTTGGAAAGGTTTTCCAATCTTTTGGAAAGGGTTTGCTGTCATTTGGAAAGGTTTTCCAGTTCTTTAAGAATGGTTTTCCAATATTTTGGAAAGGTTTTCCATTCTTTCGGACGTTTTTCCAATCTTTTGCAAACTTTTGGAAATGTTTTCCAGCCTTTTGGAAAGGTTTTCCAATCTTTGGCAAAGGTTTTCCTGTTTTTAGGAATTATAGGAACGGTTTTCCAGTTCTTTAGGAATGGCCGGTTTTCCAATCTTTTGGAAAGTTTCCAATCTTTTGAAAAGACTTTCCTCCAGTCTTTAGGAAAGGTTTTCCAGTTCTTCTGGAAACGTTGTCCAGTTCTTGAGGAAAGGTTTTCCAGTTCTTCTGGAAACGTTTTCCTGTTCTTGAGGAAAAGTGTTCCAGTTCCTTAAGGAAAAAGTTTCCAGTTCTTTTACAGAAGTATTTTGAGGGTGGAAGGATGTGGCATTGCATGCATAGATGAGAACCCGTACAAAATATTTTATCTTCTATAAACCCCTTGGGCATCCAAATAAGTTACTTATGGGTGGACAAAATCCAACGATCAGACCCTGATGTTTTTTAGCAGTTCCTTTAGTACAATATGGCAATTTAATTTGCTGCAATACCCCAATTTTAGCTGAAACGACGGAAATCGAAAAACCGACAAACAGAAGCTGTATTATGGAAATAACGGCGTACTACTCAGATGTTAACAACGAGAATACAACACAGGAAGGTGAGTTTTAGTAAATATATTTCCACCATATCGTATTATAGCAACCGCTGGTAATTTGATTTCCCGGAGTTCAATATGACTTGTAGTGGTGTAAACGTTGAAATTGCCAAATCTGTTAACAGGTGTGTTTATCCGTCTGAGAAATAACAAGGTTCAAGAAGTTTTGATGAAATATGCATATGCAAGTCTACAGCTTGTCATAGAAACCGTTTAACTATGCAGGGTCGTCCCGGTCGGGGGCCCCTAAAAAAAGATTTTCCGGAAAGCAAATATTTTTCCGGAAAATGTTGGCGACGGGGGAGGGGACGACGGTTCCTTCCAAAAACAAAACGTCCCGAAAATCTTTCCAAACACTAGTTTTAGATAATGGGACTGCCTCGTACACAGGCGCTTTGTTAGCCCACGCAAGCCATAGAACAACATATGGCGCCTGGGTACGAGACTGATAGTGGGAGCTTAAAATTACTTTTTCCGATCTTTATCGAGCTCAATTTTCCAGAAAATTCCTTAATATTTAACACGTTCCGCAATTCCAGCATTCCGGTGCCCCCTCTGGGCAAGTTGGGTCCCCTTTGGGGGTGTTACACCCCCACCCCCTAGTAGTTCCGACCATGTAATTATGGTCTCTATGTACTTGCATGCAAAGCCTGATTATCTTGAACATTTATTTTATTCTGAAAGCAAGAAAGTCTACATAGCTGTCACCTGAAAGTTCATTATTTGTACCACATCTTTAAGATTTATCGTCCAAATAGTTATATTTTTGACATTGTTTTTCAAAAATTATTTTTTTCAAATTTTCTTGCCTAATCAATTTCAAGGGATTTTTATCACCATTGACATTGAGTATGCAATGTAAATATTAATTAATTTCGTGTATCTATATAGAATATAATAAAATCACTATAAATTAACAGTTCTTTTCTTTGATATTGATAGGTCAGGCAAACTGTGAAAGCAATTGTAATAGCAACGCTTGTCGACGATCGTTTGTCATTTCTAAAGTACTTAAAACGAATTTATATCTAGTTGTTGTGGATGGACTTTGCCCATCAAGTGAACAGGGTTTTACTGGCGTTCCTGGAGTACCCCAAGAAGATATCCTTTTATTTTTTTAAGTTTTTGTGTTATTAATGTGGAGTGTCGGATAGTTTTCTTGATCTTTTTGCTTGCTCTTTATATATAGGTTTTTTAACTTAGTTCAGGATTTTTTATATTTAATGTATCCTTGACTTTATTTAATGATAAGAAATGAGGCTGAACAAGAGGAGGCAGTTTGTACTAAAGATCCATACAGAGAAGGCATATCAAGATGTGTTACAAAAATTAACCCAGTAAGTTGATATACATTTCAAACACTCATTAATAATTTATAAGCTTATTGGAAAACCATAAACCTGATAAAACACCCCTAATTAGTATTCTTTATATAGTAAAGAATACTAATAAGGCAGTATCTATTGTGGTCGTGTTAAACAGTACATAATTGACAGGTGATTACGATTCATCCAAGTTTGTTTGTCCCTTCTTTAACAATTGTACCCATAAGATACCCGATACCGAACTAAATAAGATACCCGTCAGAATTACTCCACGCACAAGACAGCACAGTTATATAAAATCTCTTAGGCATTGCAGCACTTTGAGACCTATACAAGTGAATAAAACTGCCCCGAGTTAACCACGCTTAATTCCATGTTGCTCAGTGTTGAACGCCAGATCTATTGCAAAACCTGATGCTTTTCCTGCTTTGTGCGCAGACATTAAGTGCAATAACATAGATGTTTGTTGTATAACCGAAACATGGCTCAAACCGACTATACCTAGCTCCCTCGTTTGTCCTCCCAATTTTTCGATCATTAGAAAGGATAGAACAAACTGTGGAGGAGGAGGTGTCGCGATCTTATGCAGGAATGATTGGAGAATGCAGCTACTACCTGATTTGGATAATCCATTCGAATGTTTATGGACAAAAATTATTACACAAAACTCTGAATTCTTTGTTGCAACTATTTACCACCCACCTAACTATGAGTATAATGAGCAAGACCTTATCGAATTCCTTATTGACTCGTGCGAACAACTATTGTTATCTAAACCAAATTCAAATATAATAATTGCTGGTGACATTAACAATTTAAACATTCGATCTGTTCTTAATCAACTTCCATTTACCCAACTCGTTAAGACCCCTACGAGAGGGTTAAAAATATTAGATGTCTTTATTACAAATGTTCCAAACTATTGGAAATCTGTTAAAGTTGTAAAAAGCTTGGTGAGATCCGACCATGATATGGTTATCACATACCCCCGAAACATAGTTAAAGCAACAAGGACAAATTCCTATTTCAGAGATGTGAGACAACATCATCAATTGAATATGCTTAGTGAACTTGAATCTATTGATTGGAACACGATAATTATGAATAGCCATAACCTAGATGAGATAACCCTAAAATTTTATGAAATAATATGGCCAAAATTCGATAAGAGCTTCCCACTAATTTAGGTCAGAACGTCATCACGCGACCCTCCGTTCATGTCTCCTCTTGTGAACCACCTTCTGAATCAAAGGAAAAGAGCCATACAAAACGGAAATACTGAAGCAAATACACGATTGCAAGAAAAAATCAACAAGTTAATTCGGGAAAATCAATTAAGTGCAGTCAAACAGGAGTTTGGCAACCAGAAAACTGGATCGAAAAGTTGGTGGTCTAACGTAAATAGCATTACATCGAGAAAAAAGAAACATGATGTATCAGTAAGTGCTTCTCTTAACCCTAGTGAAATTAACAAATATTTTCAAAGTGTGAATACAGACCCAAATTATACGACTCCCGAGCCTCTTCAAATCTCCGAAGGAACAAGAATTCCCTCGTTGTCAATTCATGAAGTTCAACATCTTTTACGCAATCAAAAACGCTCTTCATCGGGTCCGGACAATCTGCCATATTGGTTTTGGAAATCGTTTGCTATTGAATTAGCTCCTATTGTCACAGAAATTTTTAACATGTCACTAAAACCCAGCAAAGTACCTCAGAAATGGAAATCCGCTAATTTATTACCACTCCCTAAAGAATCACCATTAAATTCGTGTAACCAGTTAAGACCAATCTCTCTGACGGACATCATCATGAGACTATTCGAGAAGTGCGGGTATAAATCTGAAATCGAACCTATCACAAGAAATAACATTGGTCCTGACCAATTTGCTTATAAAAAGGGTCACAACTCGACTATGGCTCTGATTAAATCCCAACATCAATGGCTAGAGTGGCTGGATAAAACCGCTAATTATGTTAGAGTGCTGTCGTTCGATTTCAGCAAAGCATTTGACAGTGTGCCCCACGATCTTTTGTTTGAAAAAGTTAAAAAGCTACCCATTAATCCGTATGTGGTGAACTGGTTAATTAGCTTTCTAGAAAATAGAATACAAAGAGTAATGGTTGATGGAATGGTTACAGAATATTTATATATTAATCGTGGTGTCCCTCAAGGTTCTGTTTTAGGCCCAGTTCTTTTCTCAATAATGGTTGATGATATTAAAACTGCTGATCCTAGTAATGCGTTAGTCAAATTTGCTGACGATTTGACGTTAGGAGTGCCTGGCAACGAAAGTGGTGACACATCTCGATCTGAAGCTGCCTGTTTACAGGATTGGGCGGAAGAGAATAGAATGCCCTTAAACTTGGAAAAAACGTACGAAATGGTTGTTCGCAGACACACCTCTGTAGTTTTGCCCGAGCTTATCCCTTCAATTAAGCGAAAAACATGGCTAAAGCTTTTAGGAGTTACTCTACAAGATAACCCGTGCAACTGGGATTTGCACTTTGAAGAAATGCTCAAAAAAGCAAGTGGACGAATGTACATTATGAGAGTTTGCAAATACTATGGACTATCAATTAAACAATTAGATCTGCTGTTTGATAGCCTAATTATGTCGATATTCACTTTTGCTATTGAGCTGTGGGGTTGTGCATACGACGGTAAATATTTGAACCAAATAGATAAATTCATTAAACGTGCACACAAGAATGGTTATATATCAAAACGAACACACATTAAAGAAATACGTGATAAGAGAGATAAGAAACTGTGGAACAAAATAACATCAACTGAGGACAATGCATTGCTTGAACTGCTGCCGGAAAAAAGAAGTAGGTTACTTAGGCCTAGAGGGCATGAGTATGAACTCCCCCTAGTGAGAACAGAAAGATTCAAAAGGTCGTTCATAAATCGTTGTCTGTATAACTTTGTTTAGACTTTAATCTATTAAAAACTTTTTAAAACTTTTTACGCTTCTTAACTTACAATTGTAAATATAACTAGATCAATTACCTTTCGATTGTAAACTCAGACGGATGTATCTGAGTATTTTAATAAAGACTATTATTATTATTATTATTATAACAAAGAACAGTACTAACAGTTCCTACATACAGCACAATAATGTTGTGAGACTACGAACAGAATTACACTTAGTACATATAGTTTTATAACTACGAGAATCCTCAACATATTTGTAAATATTGATACTATCGATACTAGAAGTATCGATACTTTAGGCCCGTTTCGGACGGCGTACTTATCATGTGCCGAACTTAGTTGATGAATTAGGTACGGCAGAAGAGCGACGTATGAACAATTAAGTACGGCAGAATTTTGAGCGGCAAAAGTTCGATACAAGTTCGGCAGAGCTTGTCGCATTCGGCGACGTTGGAACGACATTAGACAGATTTAGAAAAGACGACGCGACCTCAAAGACGACGTGAAAATTGCGTGTTCTGTCCATATATGGATGTGCCACGCCATTTTGACGCCATTTTCACGTCGTCTTTGAGGTCACGTCGTCTTTGAGGTCGCGTCGTCTTTTCTAAACCTGTCTATTGATTCATACACGCCGCTCCACTCATGTGCCAAACTTAACTCAACTTTAGTCTAAAAATAAACTTATTTATTTTGAATTTTATTTAGGTTTCGCTGGAGAATGCGCCCCAACCTTGTCAATAACATAGTATTTGGTACGCCGTTTGAATCATTGCCGTTCTTACTGTATGTCGCATCTAATACAATTAAGTTGCTAGAAGTATTGGTGTACTTGATATGAAGATACTCGCTATCGATACAATTTCAGTCTGTGATATGTTTGTTCAACATTTATAAAAAACGTGAACTCGCACTTTCACCTTGCGGCTTGTGATTGATTTTGACAGAAGACACGAGTTATGAATAAAGAGTTCATGATCACTTTTATTTTCGCAGTTTAAATGTTGTGACGTCATCAATAATTAAGTATCGTATCAGTATTGACCAAAATTTCTCAAATTCATTAATAATTCATGATATAGTAAAACCAATAGCATGTAAGCATTCCGTCACAAGAGGCTGTTTGGATACCGCGGTCAAACACCGTCAGACACAGCACGTAAATTTACGTGGTGTTTCCACAAACAAAACTATTACAAGTTAAAATAGTTAAAATGTTTGTATCACGAACTGGAGGATCCAATGCTTGCATGCATGCATGCACAGAACAGATTGTCTTGAAGTTTCGCTGATCATGGCCACAGTAAACAATTAACGTCGTTACATATGAAGAGAAGAACCAGGAATACACCCTTCAGGAAAGTACTCTGCCTTTAGAGCCCTTCATCTTGTTACAGGTAATACATTTATGAAATCATACAGTTATACTGGATAATATATTTGACCTTTATATAATTAGGTCATCAGTAACAAGATAAAGGACTCTATAGCCGATATCTCATTCCCGAAAACAATGCTCTATAGCCAAGTCTGAGCACTTTCTATTAAGCTGTGCAGGGGTATGGTGTGGTGCACTACAATAGTGTAATCAGAGGGAAGAGATTGCCTACTCCAACCACTGTTAACCACTCAAAAATGGCACCTTAATTTTACATTTTTAAATACTTTTATCTATATAATATTATAGTTATACTCACTGTAACTTGAAGTGAAGTACAACCAATTACTAACAGTATTTTAAAAGGAGTGTAAAATAAACAAATGGCATTATACAGTATATTGGCAATGATTATCGACGTATATATTCTCTACTATAATCACAGGATCAAAGCAAAGAAATGTTTGACAGTGCTGGTAAATGCAATTTTGGGCATATTATATAGAAACCATGAACCAACAGAAACCATGCAGTACGTAAGACTCGGTGACAAATAGGGCTTACATCCAAAGTCCAAAACCATATTAATTATACTTACTGTATGTACTATGGTAAAATCTAGAGTTAAATGATTTGTGTTGAAAAGACTTTGCAACAGATATATACTGTAGCAGGTTTTTTGCTAAAGCGTCAGCCCTGCTGCCCATTGTATTTAATATTGGGAAATTCCTGGTCCTACTAGTTGAGATCTCGGGTAGTATAGCAATACATCACTTAGGAGGGCTACTCCTCTCATTTGAACATTCAAGAACACTTTTTCACAAACATTTCAATAACAGTGCTCAGGATCTCCCCTAAGAGGGACAACCCTTCATGGACAGCTGATGCGGTGTAAAACTTGACTCTGTCTAGACTACAATGTCACATAATGTTACAGTAAGTTGAAGGTGGAAGATGTTGATCCCGTATGAGGGAGGTGGGAAATATTTTACAAGTACATAATAGAGCTGGAATAGCTTAGTTACTGTACATAACTACGTCGTATTTGACATATTGTCGGAAACAATATGTCAAATACGACGGTGTAAATTCTGATTAAAGATCTGTGACAAATGGAGTCCCCCAGGGCTCAATATTGGGGCCATTGCTATTTTTATTACATATAAATGACATTGGAATGGAAATAAAGAAATGCAAAATGTTATTATATGCTGATGACATGGTAATATTTTACTCAGATAAAGATCCCAAGAAGATAGAAGGTATTATTATAAATGAAGAATTTAACTATATAATAAATTGGCTTGAATACAATAACTTAACTATGAATCTGTTCAAAGAAAGGAAAAACAGAGGTTGTTTTATGTGGAACTAAAAAGAAACTATCAAACCCATCTGAGATAAGTGTAATGGCTGGAACAATGAAGGTACAAAATGCAAGTCTACGAATATTTGGGTGTCTTAATGGACAATGCATGTTAGCTTAAACGACAGTCAGCCAATCATATTTGAGTAATTGTTCCCTCTATATGATTAGTTCTAAAATACTCTGTTACAGTAGGTTAACCCTTTAAGTGCCAATGCACCCTGATGTGCCCTACTCTAGTATTTTACTCTGTCTAATGCCAAATGATTTTACTCGTCAAGTGGAGAGTGCTGCCACTCAATGGGTTAACCAAACAAACTGTCCATGCACCCTCTTAACCCTTTAAGTGACAACGCACCCTGATGCACCCTACTTTAGTTCTGTCTAATGCCAAACGATTTTACTCGTCAAGTGGAGAGTGCTGCCACTCAATTGGTTAATAAATGATGTCTAAATCTACCTTGCTAAGATTCAAACAGGGGTAAAAATTTGGTGCACAGAATCATACACCAACATGGCAGCCAAAAATTTGCAGTATATCTGGGAGATTTTTAGCCAAAATGTTTAGATTTGTTTTTAGGTCAGATTAAGTGTATCTTCTTAAGCTTAACTACAGTAAGCATTCTAAAACTAAATTGTGTAATAACATAGTTTTAAAGTGCCTATATAACTGCCTATAAACCCAAAATGGGTTTTTGATGATTCGGATACAGTAGAACGTAAAAAGTTACAATAGAAGTTCTAGATTAGATTTTTATTTAAACTTGTAGTTTCTGAGATATAACGACTCAAACACTCAAATTTTGCCATTTTTGGAAAAAAAACCCGCACAGTCAAATTCAATGTAAAAGCCCGGCTTGGAGGAACACATTCTTCACATTCATTTTGCGAAGGATACTTGATCAAGTGTGAATTTGAGCTCAACATTTCAGCTTTTTAACAAAATTTTTTTAACAAAAATATAGTTCACTTGATGTTTTTTTCACTTGTCTACCCAAATTGTAATACAATTTCCTGGTGTGAAAATACAACATGTTCAGTGTTCCTCCAACCCAAATTTTCAAAATTGTCACTTTGAGCCGTTATATCTCAGAAACTAGAAGTTTAAATCAAAATCTAATCTAGAACTACTAATTGTAACTTTTTACAATCTATCCGAATCATCAATAACCCACTTTGGGTTTATAGTTATTCTTTCTGCAATCAGGCCTATAAATAAATAAATAGGCCTGATACAAACCTTAACAAAGGTCCATGCTGTACAACCATATTTCGGTTGTAAATCTGATTGGTCTAAAAGATTTTTTAATCTGTCATTTGATTGGTGTTAATTAGATTATACTATTGTTGTTGATATATTTTATAGTGATCACAACTATAATTAGATTGTTGTTGTACGTGTCGTCGTTGTGTGAAATTTAAATTTCTCCTACGACATTTTGAGCAAATTTCTCCTACAACATTCTGATACTCAGGTTAGGTTTATAGGCACTTTAACAACATTTGAGCATTATGCTTACATCAGCAATATTAGAGATTTTGGTAAAGATTTGTAAATGGAACAATTATAAAACTGCCAGCTTTCAGCTTTAATTTTAGAATTTAGTGAAATCGCTGTAATGCACCCTACTTTAGTATTTTACTCTGTCTAATGGCAGACAATTTTATTTGCCAAGGAGAGAGATATGTCTCTTGTTATCTCATTATGCATCCTATTTTAGTATTTTACTCTGTCTAACAACAGATGATTTTAGTTGTCAAGGGGAGTCTTGCATACTAATGATTAAAATACATGCAGATGTAGAACATTAAAATGTTATGTAAATTTCTGATTGAAATGGCCAGAGAATTAAAAGCTGCTGGCAATATGCCAATATTGTCAGTATTAATAATTTTCTTCTAGAACACATAAAGAATTTGAAAGGCTACAATCATCTCTTTAGGTTTTATGAATATATTCCTAATTTGCTATAAATTGAGAATATCTCATTAAAATAATATGTTAACATGATAATATGTGCTATATTGTACAGAGAAATATAATGATTCTATTGTCAGAACTTGTTTAGAGATGAGAAGACTATACCAGCTATGGGAGAATCTAATTTGAATATTATTATCAACAAATCCATATTTGGCAAACAAGCCCCAAAGAAAATCGAACTACATATCTTTCAGCCTTAAGGGTTTTCTTTATACAATATAGGAATGAATTCATCTGATTGTATACCCTTATTATATTAAATATTGTAATTGATATAGAATAATATAAAATTCCTCTCAATACAGACATTTTTAATAACGAAGGCAGGGTTATAAAGCTTACTGTTTTCAAAACCTTCTAGACTGTCATTCGTTCTTACAAAAGTAATATGTGGCCTTTAAATAAAGAAAGGCACGCTGCAGGAAAGAGATTCATGTTTTGGGCCTTTTGGCACTGAAATCTCATGGCAACATACCGGTCATATATAAAAGTCAGTTTAGATATCACGAATCCGTTAGCGACGAAAATCTCAAATCAATACAGCGTTTATGTACAGATTACAACAGACAGAAACGAGGAATATACCTAAATACATGTGGTATTCCCAGCTAACAATCTGTTGTTAGAAACTACGAAATAATATATGGCTATCAACAGAGGCAATACTTACAAAGCCGAGTTCGTGAACTTTGGCGGTTGCGGTGATCCTAAACGCTTTAGATGCGCATGTAATACATCAAAACAAAAGAAAGCCATCTCCTTGTTGACTATTCTATTCGTATGTTGGCTACGAGTGGCATTTCGTCCCTGCCAACAACTCATCGTCAAAAAACAACCACTGTCTTGCAATGGTTTCTTGGCTTGGGTTAACTTTGCACTTGAGCCGGAAGTAATTGTGACTGACCGCCCGAAGTACCTGTCGGGAAATGTTTACATCGGAAGTGAATGGCAACGTGTATTTCCAAGCAACAGAAGAAAAATATAAAAGGCGGACAAAGACGACGGACGCAGTAGAAGACGGGCGGTGAATAGCCTGCGATGCAGATCCGTCTGCTGAGTTTGGCTGTGGTTTGGCTATGTATTTCGGATACCGCCTCCTTTAAAATAACAGCTAAAAATAAATTACAGATTACTTATGTATTAAACAAACAGCGTATTAGCCACATCAAAAACATTCTAGACTTTTATCCTGGCCAAAACAATTAAAACATGTTTTCCAGCGTTTCAGGATTAATAGTTGGTGTCTCGAAGACTCGAACTAGAATTAGAAGCTTTTAATTTGCAAACCGTTGTTATTATATTGTGTGATTAGGGGCGGACCATTTGACTTTTGAGGGGGAAGGGGGGGGGGGGGGGGGGGGGGGGGGGGAGT